AACTTCATATAAAAAGTGTAAGAGAAAATTGTTCGCCTTTTTTAAAAAAGAAACCACAGTAGAACCCCAGTAAAACTGTAAATGTTTAACTCAGCAATTCCAGCATTGACTGCCCATCTGTTTAGCTTTTCTCTTCTGCTATAAAACATTCTTTATCTGTCATCTACAAATGTAGTATGTGAACAAACACATCATGATCTTCTACATAAACACTGAAAAAAATATTCCAGTCTCATGCAACCATATAGCACTTCGATTAACCATGCTAAAGTCAGAGGTAACAAGTGCTATACCAGTAGCACTGCATGATTAAAAAAAACAAAAAAATAAAGTCTGTCTATAATATAACACATACAACAGCATCATCCACTTACATAAAAATCAGTATTTCTTTCTCAGGATAATGAATGGGTACCAAATAATTTGGAAAAAGCAAAGCCTGAGGTAATACAAAGCACAAGCCAGGCTGTAATGTCAAAGGACACAGACTTAGCCTTGCAAAATCCATAAGCAAACTTTATATCATGAGGCAGAGCCGAGCTTGGTTTGTGCAGCATGCATTTTGTATTACACATCAACCACGAGAACTGAAGTTAGGCTACATCAGTTTGATTCTCAACCCAGTAATTCGCTCACAGATCACGACTGTAGGTCTTTTATCAGATAACTTGGTAAAAATAGATAGCGAGAGCATTACATACCTGAGCTGAAGAGTAATAATCTTTGTTTCAGACTCGTCATAAAAAGTTATGGCAAAATTACTCTATTAACGTCACAAAATCTTGTGGTTTTTTATTCTAAGCAAAAGTACATTAAATACCCAAAGCCACTTACCACTATGACCTTCAAGAGTTTGATTCACAGAAAGATTGCTAGGAGCTGCGAGTCCCTTTATTTTTGCTTCATCTGAAAATAACAAAACCAGCCATAAAATCAGCCTAATAAAGCACACATATTACAGTGTCTCTATCAATACTGCAGCTCCATTCACTGCTTATATAGATAAAATTATTCACCTAAAAGAATGTAAATTGTAACTGCAGGATGAATTTTCCACACTCAGTTCAATGTGTTTGCTATTCACATCTGTCATTCAAATTCATACACTCTTTATGATCAAGCAGTTTTTCAGGGAAAAAAAAAAAACACCAAAAACCAAACATGTCCACACAAAAAAAACCCCACACATTAAAAAAAAACAACTATGACTGTCATGTTTTGTAACATTCAGTAAAATAAGTTAAAAATATTTTGAAAATATATTAGATTTTACTTTTCTTGGAACATTTTTATTAAGAAAAAAATTGACAGCTTTCTCTGTAAAATAATGAAGATGGTACAGAACACTGAAACAAAATAAATCATAAATTCCAAAATAACTTGAAGGCTTATACAAAATGAACAAGAATAAAACATGTGCCCTGTAAAAGAAAAAAAAGTACTGAAGAAAACTTCAGCAGATTTAACGGGTACACAAATTACACCTGTGCCATGTAAGCCAAGGCGGAGGAAATCTGTGCAAAAGAAAGTAACAGCACATTGGATGTTTTGGCAAATACATAACTATCTATGTACAGGTTTAAAAGGTGCAATACCATCTAGAAACTTGTGGAAGCAGTTATGCTTCCTGAAGCGCAGTGGATTTTGTTCTTAAGAAAAACAAAGAAACAAAGAAACAAACAAACCTAAAATCACCCACACTCATTTACCTGTCTGTGTTTCTAATTTTAAGACTTTCAGTAATCCATCCTCTCCACCACAGGCTATGAAACCTTGATCCTTATTCCAGGAAATACATCTTAATCGAACATTACCAGGAATTGCAATCTGAAAAAGAAGCATTTTGTATCTCTACACAGCTATAAGAATCATGTTTTATTTTAAAAATTATCTGAACACCTCAAAGACACCTATGACAGCACATGAGGTAAACTTATTTCTATCAACAGATCAGTACGTGCAAAAAGAAACAAAAAGAGTTACAAGCACCAGTGAAACTGCAACTCAAGGCTTGAGAAAAGGTAACCTAACACATGCAGTAAATCATAATAGCAGGACATCTTCAAAGGTGTGCTGAGAAGGCGTCATGAGCAACGAAGCAGGGGAGAGGTGCACAGAGCTCCGACAAGAGCTGAACCGACATCTCAAGACCAAAGACCAAAGCCCCAAGCCCTGAACCCAGGCCGCGAAGGAGCCGGCAGGGCAGATCAGGGCATCACTCTGGGCAAGGGCCAACCCCACGTCCGCACCACCAGCGCCAGCACAGCTGCAGCCAGCGGGCGAGAGTCCTAAAGAGTCCCCTCAGTGCCACGAGGCCGCCGAGCTCCCAACCCCCGGGGGCTCCCAACCCTCCGCGCTCCCAACCTCCGGGAGAAACCCCGCCGCCTCGGCTCTCCTCCTTGCCCCAGGAGTACCTTCTTGCACAGGTAGATGAACATCCTGGCGAAGCGAGAGGGCCGCCCCTCACCGCTCCTCACGGCGGCACGGCCCGGTGGGCACGACGCGGCCCCGCCGGTGACCGCGTCACCCTGGCAACCGCAGCCGGAAGTGCCCTCCGGGCGCGCGCTCTGTTGCTTCCGGGAGCGGGAAGAGAAAGCTGGAGGCCCCTAATGTGGTGCTGTCTGCAGTGGGCTCCAGGCACAATTCCTCATACCCATCTGGCCGCAACCCAGAGGTGCTTCCTGAGGCGGTGGTGTCCTGCCTTTGCCTGTCGCCTGCCGGCAGCCACGAGAGGATAGCTCCTCTAAGCAGGAAGATGGGCTAGGGGTTTGCCCGCCCTGCCTCAGTGATTGACGGTCGTACACCCCTTGGGTAGAAAGCGCTGATAATTCATTAATACAGGTCGCTCGGCTTTTACATGAGGGAAATCCGAGAGCTTGTGAATACCAAATTGTTTGTACATAGTGTTTTTAGTGTAACATGCATCAATACATCCTCAGCCCAACCTCAGAGCTGCCCCAGGCGTACCTGTTAGCTGAGGTAACCGGCGGCTGAGGCACTGGACAGCTTTCCTGCTCCCTCGAAAGGTGCTGCCTGCAGTTACAACTAGGTCTGGTCAGGCGGCCATTCGCATTCACAGATGAACAATGCCCTGATTCAGTGGGTTAGAGAGGGTAAGAGAGCCCCATGGAACAATCAAGCCTGGCTCTGCAGCTCTGACTCCAGGCTAGGTTGGACCCAGCTGCAAAATAAGTATTTTCCATACTGATGCTGTTTTGTAGCTGAACATGGGAGATGTGCAGAAAACTCTGTCCTTTGTCTTCTGCACCCTGCTCTTAAAACTTGCCTGCCTGACACAGGAGGAGCAGAAGTGCTGTCTCCCAGGGTATGTCCCTGGCTTTCATAGTGGCTAAGCACTCCACAGTACAATTATCTACAACACAAACACTGAAATATAAGCAATTTGTTTAATGTCAAAGGAGGATCACGTTAAAGTCAACTTCTCAAGCCTGTGTCTTGTCAGGGTTAGTGCTGTTCCCCTCAGAGGGGCTATCTGGAGATGTAGAGGAATAAAGCCAGCCCTCAGTTATCAGCAGATCATTTTATTAAAGTTACATGAACATGCAGCAGTGAGGAGCACTTGGCATCCAGGTTTTTGATCTATGCCAACTTAGAAGTGCATGCATAATACAGACCTATAAAGCAAAGCTGGTTGAACCCCTGTAAGCATTTTAGAACTGTGATAGCTAACTGTAATTTAAAAAATGCCTGAGATCAAGCAGCCGGACTAGATGGTTGTTGTAGGTCCCTTCCAACAGAAATACTCTAATAAGAATAAAACCAATTTTAAAATACCATCCAGAAGATCAAATTTAGTTCTTTTCTCAACAGTTCTCTGTATTAGTCTGAAAGTTTTACTGTACCAATAAGTAAAACAATTTAATTTCTTACTCGATATCAACAAGAATATCTGTATTTCAGATCAAAATTTCAGTCAATAACACATTCGGGTGTGTCCTATTTTAAAGATACCACATATATCACTTCCGAATTTTACCTGTTGCTCACAAACACAAATTGAGAGAAGACAATTGCTCAGAGGAATTTAATGTAAATGCTATTGGTCATAATGTAAAATGGAGTTATGCACACTAGCGCATGAAACAAAGCCTGCCCAGCTGACAGCTTGCACTTGGCATGGTTAAACTTCATAAGGTTGGCATCAGCCCACCTTACAAGCGTGTCAAGGTCCCTCTGGATGACATTCCTTCCCTCCAGCATATCAACTGAACCACACAGCTTGGTATCATCAGCAAACTCGCTGAGGGTGCATTCAATCCCACTGTCCATGTCACCAAACTTTGCCTGTTGATTTTCCTTGCAATTGTTTGTATCTATTATGTGCAGGGTATGAAGCAAGCACAGATGTCATTATAATATGTCCTTGGCATACCAGCTACTGATGTAATATTTTGTGTGACTGTATTGCAGATCTATACAAAATATGTTGGATTTTTCAACTCTTAAAAAAATGTATTGTTATAATCATAGTTTTGACTCCATCTTCAAATGTATTTAAAAATAGTTTCTAAAGTATTTGTATTCTTATGAATGACAAGGCACAAAATGAGTGGATTCTTTAATGATTACATTTTTTAATTGTTAGCTTGCATGTTTTGTCCTACAAGCCAAACTGACACAACTAGTCTCAGTAAAATCCATGGAATGAGAACAGAAATAACTAATAACAAACGTAAATTTTGCAGTATAAAAAAAACTGAAATTGGAGGACACCTTTATCCTTCTGAGTGTTAAACAACATTATTAATACTTGAAATTACTTTAAAACCTTTTATCTGTATTAACAAGGACTTGCAGGTTTTAAAATCAAGCAGGTTTTTTTCCAACTATGTGGCTTGGGGATAGTCCCCTGTTTAATTCTGTCAATGTCGGCCATTTATGCTTCCTTTATCTTTGAGGTTTTGTTTCCTTGATTTTGGTAAACCCTTTATTTCATAACACACACAATTTTTCAGTTAAATATACAAACCGTTTCAATATCAGTGTGCATAATATACTTCATTTTATTAAAATAAGTTACAAGATCCCAACTTACTTTCTCATTTAATGGATAGAAGATGTGGGCACATTATTTACTCTGCCTTGCCATTTCACAGTTTTATACTATGTCATATAGTGTATCCCTTTTTTTATTTATTTACTTTTAAACAAGATAATAAAAATGCAGTTACTGCAGAAAAGCAGTACCTGCTGTACTGCTTGTACAGCAAAGCACAGCAGGTACAGATAGCTTTATGGTTATAAAGTTACTGCAGATGAAGTTCCAGGGTCTGTTGTCTTCCTGAAGTCTTCTTGACATATTATTTGTCAATAACAACAAACCAACTGCTGTTTTGTGAGCTGTGCAACAAAATAAAGCTTGCTGAACTCAATCAAAAGGATTGATTCTGAAAGAGTATTTGAAGATTAAGTAGAATGATAGCTCAGACAACCTGCTGTCTGCCTTGATATGCCTCCAGCTTCTTAGACACTTCATCTAGTGGTCAGTTGTTAAGGGTAAAAAATTCAGTGTCTACAAGGTTTATCTGTAAACTTTCTCATTGCTACATTTTCAACAAACAGTCTGTTTTCCAGGTGAGATCAATACATGCATGAACCAGAGATTGCAAAACATTTTAGAGACATGTCAATGTCTGGCAACTTCCCAAATGATCTCAGCAACCCTAATTTCTTATAAGGAGTTGGACCAAGTGACATTCAGAGCTCAAGAGCAGCAGGTGACTTCTGCTTTTTCCAGGTTGCCTTGAAAGCATGCTAGGGATACAAATTGCCCAGCAAAGAATAACTTTGGAAGAAAGCCTCAGTTATTTGTTAGTATATTCCTAACCCGAAACCACTGCATTTTATTCTGTATCTTTGGGGCAGAAAGACTGATCTCTGAAGGACAGGATACTATTGAGATGATGTTACAGGTTTCATTATCTTGGTGCTCAGTTTTAACTACTTGGATTTCTTTGAATTATATATTACAATCCAAGGAAAATCAGCATCTTCCCTTCACTTTTTCCAGACTGAACTCCAAGCACACTGCAAGAAGAGGGATTTGCAATCAGATCTTATAAAAATAACTCTGAATTTATTCAAGCACTGGGGAAGTCTTGTGTCATTGGCAGAAGTTTTCATTTGCCTTTCACAGACTTTGGTGACCTGAGAAATTAGTTTATCTGTATAAATGAGTTCACATATAAAACTTACTAGTTTGTTCTCCTTCTTTGATTAATCCTAGATACCCCACTCTTCCTTGATTTTGAAGCCCCAGGCATCAGGATGACAACCACAGGCATAATGCTCATCTAAGTCAATTCCTATTTCAACAAGAGCATCTTTTACAAGAAAAAAAGCATGCAGTCTCAAAAATTTCCAGTGATGAAAATCTATCACAATCTTTGGCAAACTGTGATCAACCACTGTCACATCTAAAAATTGTGCCTTATGATGAATCACGGTTTGCCCAGCTTTAACTTCTAGTTACTAGTTCCTGCTGTGCCATCTGAGAGCATTTATTACATCATTCAGTTTGCTGAGGTCCAGAGTTCACTACTTTCACTTTTTTGGTTGTTTTTGACTCTCCCACATATTTGTAAAATGTTGGGCTCGTACCCAACAGCCTGTACTTTGATGTCTCATGGAACCAAGCTTTGCCTCCAACATCATCACCCTGCCTTGAAGCTCTCCCATTCTCCTATATCCCAGCAGCTGGATATTCATAGGTTAGCAAGTTTTCATGGAAAAGAAGGTCCATCAAAATTACTTGGCACAATGCCTCCCTGCAGAGATGGGATGCAGAGGAATACTGCAGATGATGGGGCTGTGTTCACCCTGCCTGTGAAGTTGTCTTGAAAATTTGGGACGTAATAGGAGGGATCAAAACTGAGGATTTGCTGTAACAGTAAAAGTCATGTGGGAAAATTATGAATAAAGCAGTTCAGTATAGCATATATAACCTAGGGGTTGTGGGTATATGTATTTTATCTTTATCTTGGTACGAAAGCCCTTCAATAAAATGTGAAAACATAGTAGTATTTGAAATAAATGAGATTTTGCTCCATACCACTTCTAAAATCACCATGAAAATACTTTCTGTGCTAAGGTATTTTTGTTCCACAGCTTATATCAAAACAGGTACCTCTTAAAATACTAGTAAATGGCTGAATGCAGAAGATCGTGTAAGAAAAAGGATATATTTTGTAGACAGAGCTTCAAGGCGTGAGGTGACTGAGTCCTGCAGGGCAGCTATGGCTTCACACTTACAGGACTCTTCAGTAGTTACAAGACTGCTTGCTGTGGCTCCTAAGAAAGAAAACAGCATTTACAATATTTATGACAATTATCAAACACTTAAATCCCAGGGAAACACTTGATTCTGCAATGGGAGTTGACTTCATGCTGTGAGACTACAGAAAGCACTGAAACCCAGGGCAGCTGGGAAGGAGGGACGAGGGCTGGTGTGGAGACACAAATTCTGCTAGAACAGGTTCCTCAAAGCCCCTGGCCTTGAACACTGACAGGGATGGGGCAGCCATAGCTTCTCCAGGCAACCTTTGCCAGTGCCTCACCACCTTCGCAGTGAAGAATTTCTTACTTGTATCTAAATAGAATCTAAATCTGTACAAAGCCAAGGTTGCTGCCCTGTCAAAGCTGGACTGTAATGGCATTTGGGGGACCAATCATTGCCAAACACAGCATTCCTGAGAATGCATTAGTCCAAAGTTAAGCCTCCAGGAGTTCTGCAAGCTAAGCAGGAAGGCACGTAGTGATTTTAACCACGTAAAGAGTCAGTCAGTGTCAGAGATTCATCAGTTTCCATCAGAGATGTAGACGGAATTAGATACTGAAATCTCAACTTGGGAAGAAATAAGAAGAATGTAATTTACCACCGGTAAATAATACAAAAATGAAACCAGGAATACATGAATTCATTTAAAATACTAAGCAATAGAGTTCAGCTAGATTATCAACGTGTATCATAGATACAATGTGTATCACCCCACAAGTACTACTGGTTTGTAACACTGGCAATATACATGCATAGGGAGTATAATTTTTGATTCAAGAGGTGTGAACATTCCAATGTCACGTGAATATGGATAGAGGGAACATCCCATTCAAATAGGCCCAAATGAATTTAAAATCTAGTAGAAAAGCACAGCAGTACTGAGGAGCCAGATAGTATGACAGAGAAGTCATTAATCTGTTAAGCAAGAGAAAGCAAGCATTGCCCTACTCCACAGTGGTTCCACTGAATCTGTTCCTAGGTCTTGCTCTCAGTCTTCCAGACTTACAAAAGACTAGCCTCAGCTGTCCTGAAGAATTCCTTTTTCGCCATAATCCACCACAAGACCAGGGATGATCACAAAGGGCTCAGAGATGATAATTTCATGTGGTATAATGTGAGTTCTTAGCTACGCGAAAGGCAATTTAACCTCACGTACTCTACAAAGAAAATAGGAGTTAAGCTGTACCTCTTGCTGCAGGCTTATAACAAACATATCAACAGCTACAGAAGCACAAGTACTGTAGTGAGATTACCATCTACATCTGAGACCAGAATAATAAGCTTCCAAAGGTAAAGCCTTCTTAAAAGAGTGTCCACAAGTATGAAAAACGCTTTCAACAAGTTATCAAGAAGTAGTAACTGCATGTAGTATCTGTCTCTTTATACATGCTTTTTTTTTTACAATGCCTCCAAAGGCAATGACAGCAGATTACTCAGTATTTTTTTTCTGTAGATACATAAATGCATAGCTGATAAATGCCAAACAAATAAGGTGAGCATTATAACAGTGAAACAATAGAAATATTATACCTGGATACAATTTCTCTTTTTCTTTTTTTCTGAATTCTGAGTTCTTTTTTTGTTTCTGGACCATGCCATTGATACTTCCATTTTGCAGGGAAACTGCAAAGTCTATGAACAGATTCATTTCTAGTGTGGAGAAATTACTTTGTCTTAGTGTCGTGGTTTAAACCCAGCCAGACAGCTCGTGCACTCACTCCCAGTGAGTGGTGCCGGGCTGGAAGCAGTCGAGGCCCGCGTCCCGTCCGTCGTCGTCCCCCCCCCGGGGGCTCTCTCCTTCCCCACTCCCGGAGGGATGGGATGGGATGGAGAATCGAAAGAATGCAACTCCCACAGGTTGAGAAAAGAACAGTCCAGCAACCAATGTACAACACAAATCACCACCGCTACCACCAACGACAACAATGATAAGAGATAATAACAAGGGAAGAGAATACAATACCACCTGCTGAAAAATGAGTCCAACCAAGAAGACTCTGTGTCCTCCCGGGTAACTCCCTGGTTACCCCCCCTCCCCCCCCTCCCGGGCATGACGTGCTGTGGTATGGAATACCTTGGCTAGTTTGGGTCAGGTGTCCTGTCTCTGCTTCCTCCTGGCTTCCACTCCTCCCTGGCAGAGCATGAGCCTCACAAAGTTCTTGGCCAAACCAAAACATCAGTGTTACCAGCTCTGTTCCCAGGCCGAAAGTCAAAACACAGCACTGCACCAGCTACCAAGAAGGAGAAAAATGACTGCCACTGCTGAACGCAGGACACTTAGAGCCAGTGTTGAAACTGATATCTCCTTGATTCCACTGAACTGGTATTTGTTCAGCTCCCTTCTCTGGAACATTTCACAGGCTTTATGATCAATGTACAAAGAAGAGCTGTTCAAGAGTCAGCTGAAGGAAGGCCACCACAGCAACGTGGCTGGTTTGTAACCAACTGTCAGGGGTTTTTTTTATGTTTCAAATGAAATTCTCCAACGACAGATACAAATACAGATCCTCCTTGGATTATGTCCATTTTAACAAAACTACTTTTCCAGCCAAACTTGGCAACTGCCCAAGGGTACCCTGAATTCTTCTACAGTCCTTCTGTCTTCCAATATTTGATATTCAGAATCTTGGACACCCCTATTGCCACTGGGATGCTCAACAAGTCATACTAAACATGCTAGAGTTATGTTTTTATACTGCATTTTACTGTTTAAGTATACTGTTACACTGTTTAAGTCCAGACCTATTAAAAATTACAATATTTACAGATGGAATTTGGCTATATCCACCTATTTTATAACTTTGCTCTTACATGGGATTCTTAGCCACATGGTGTAATGGCAAGTTATTCCTGCTCTGAACAAGAAATAATATTAGGTACCTCTTGAGGTCACTTCCAGTCTGACTATGATTACTTCGTACAATCTGTGCTCACGCAGATCGCAGGTGCCTGTCCTCGCCATATGTGAAGTACTAGACCACCTCCAAAGGCATGCTAGGAAAAGTATCCAGTACACAGTAACTTTAGTCAGGAGAAAAATGCAATGCTGCTGTTATCGAAACCAAGGGGAAAAGCTCCAGGTCAACTCTCATTTTAAGAGTTGATGTCTGTAAGCAATTTTTCAACTAGAAACAACGAGGGTAACTCACAGAAAACATGTCCATGTCTTCATGAATTTCATATATTAAAGTAGCCTTTAACTCTTACATGAGCAAGTCTTCCTGTCTGAATTCAGGGTGTAGCCCTCATAGCAGTTACAGACATAGGATCCGTTGTTTCTCACACAGATCTGATCACAATCATGTCTTCCAGGTGCACGTGTCCACAGCTGCAAAACACATGTTAAAACAAGTAATTGTTAATAAAAAGCAGCTTAAGATGGAGTGCATATTCACATTATGAGATACATTTGGAATCAGCTCAGAAACTGCAATAGTAATTGAAAGAATTAGAGTGGTAGGAGAAAATATCTATACAGTGTCTACATCTGAAGACTCTGTTTTGTCATCTGCCCCTAATGAATGTATCTGTAGGCATACAGATAACAAGGATGGTGATAGAATCAAACTATTTCTCACCATTACTTGCAGCAGAGTTTTATTTATTATTTAAGATACCGATTTCACGATTTCAAAAGAAATACACAAATAGCTTCTCAAATCCCATTATGGTGTTAAAAAGTGATATTTTTCTAGTTGAGCATATCTAATGAAGGAGTAATACCTGAGGAGGTTCTCTTACCTGGATTCAGAGCGTAGCCTTCATAGCAATCACAAAGGTAGGACCCACTGTTGCTCACACAGATCTGCTCACAGTTATGGGCTCCAAGTGCACACACATTTGCAGCTACAAAGGGTATTTACAGAAAAATAATTTCACTTATCCCAAAGGAAAGAAACAGCCATGAATAATTTATGCTTACAAAAGTACATCTTGCACTGTTTGCTGGATTAGTAGCAGTAAACGTCAGTGTTGTGTCACTGTCACGGAAAGTTACAGGCATCTTTTGCATCATTCTATAGCCAGAACAAAGAGGTCGTGACTGATACTGGAACAACTGCACTGAAATAACACAACACCCGAGGTGGCAGCCAGGATGGACTGAAAAGGGTGCAACAGGGAGAGATTTTAAGCATTTTGTAACATAACACTGGAAATGAGAACTCAGCAAGAAAAAAGACCTGGTCTTTTTTATCCAGTCCCTTTCTATTACAGGCAAGCAGCTGAAATAATCCCAAAACGTATGTCACTGTCTGGCAGGTTACTAACTTCTGCTCACTAGCATATAACCTGATTTATTAATTCCTGCTGCACTGTAAAAAACTTCCATGTAAACTGAAATGCAACAGAAAAAATAAAATAAAATAAAATAAAATAAAAATGAAATGAAATGAAATGAAATGAAATAAAATAAAATAAAATAAAATAAAATAAAATAAAATAAAATAAAATAAAATAAAATAAAATAAAATAAAATAAAATAAAATAAAATAAAATAAAAACAACAGAAAGAACTTCAAGACCAGGAGGACAAGAAAAATGACTCAGAGGTGCTAGGATAACACACTGTCTCCTCAGGGATAAAAAAAGTGTCTGTGTCATGATAATCCAGATGTATCAGCCAGCAAAAAACCCCACTATTGCAAGATGGGGGTGTGAGGGCTGCAGTTGCCCTGACCCATCAGATTAAAAAGTCAAGACCAAAAGAAGACATGGAGGAAAGTTTCTACAGTAAGGTAGCTTTACACTCACATGGATTGAAGGACAATACAGAAATAATCTCCAAATCTCAGAGAACTGAGAAGCTGAAACTGCAAACCACAAAATGAGATTGAATTTCTGGGGACCAGCTAATTCCTCAGCAAACAGTAAGGTCATCTGCCTTATCAGACTGAGAAAACAGCAAACGGTGATAGGAAAAGCAGTGTGATGGATGACAGCTGATCCATGTGTGCTGTGGTGACAGGACACACGACACAACTGTGGTAATGCTGGGCCATCTCTACGATGCACTACATGTGTTGACAGTCTTTTCCTTTACAGCTGGTCTAACCAAATAACTTATTAATAACTGATTCGTTTTTCTCAAGTATGCCTAGCTTCGGATCTGCCACTTCTTTGGTGCCTCTGTTTCTCCCCCCAGACTGTAAAGGAAATCTAAATACTCTCTTACAATGTGGCTATGGACTACTGGTAAAATCAAACTGGAAAGCTATAGTGGTGAAATAAGCAATGAGAAGACAAAGTGCTTGAATCTTCTCATGTATTTCTGAATGTAAGGCAACACTTCCCCTTTTCTAAAAAATGGACGATGTTGATGTCCCCTAATACAGCTTATAAGGTCTTGTCCTTCCATTTGTAAAAACAAATCTGAAACCAATCCAGCATCTTTTCATTCTGCTACACCCTTGGGAATAGGAGAATTCATCACCATGACTTATGAACAAAATCTGTGGGTGATATTTACAAACATAACTGAGAAGCTCAGACTCAAATGGTCAGATTTTTGTGGTAGGAAAGTCTAGCCTCCACTGACTTGGACACAGATTCAAGACTAAGATTTTCCACATCCAGGATGGTCTCATGTTGAACAGTGCTCTCGATGCATCAAGAACTTGATGTTAGCCAACCATTTTGCCCCTGAACATTAGTTTCACTGTTTTTGGTTCACCCTACAAACAAATTTATTTGCCTTGGCCAAAGCAAAGAAAATTCTAATTGTCACTGGTGGGGCTAGAGTTCTGACCAAAAGCAGCCTGGAGCTGGAAAAGACCCAGTTTACCCACAAAGTCTTACAAGACCCCTTTAGACTCATTTGATTTGTAGGAACCTTTTTAAAAATGATTTAGTTTGGATGGCAAGGCCAGTCACTGTGCCAGCAGACAAGGGCTCAATGTGCGATATAGCCTCTTTCATTGATGTTTTATCAAAGTAGGTCCGGAGAGGGAACTCTAACAGTGCTGGCATAATTCATGACTGCCACATGGGTTGTTTTTTCACCAATGTCCAGAGTATCAATCATTTTTGACAAGAAGATTTTCACTTTCTCAAACTCTTCAGCTCGGACACTGCGGGAGCTGTCTATGATGAAGACGAGGTCAAGGGGCCGGTTCTTACAGGCACCGTCTGTCAAGAAGGAAGGGAAACATTTCAGTCATCTCCTACACAGGACCAGAGCTCTCCCCCTTGGGCAGTGAGAGCTGTCATGGCAGACTGCTCCTACCAGATAGATGTTGGCACCCTTCATTCTTTCCTAAAAAGCTTAAAATTATAGTGAGCAACACATTAGAAATTCTTAAGTGTTAATTTTGACAAGTAATCAATAATTGAATTTTTCTAAGCACTGAGAGGTCCACATTTGAGCTCACAAAATGTCTATCCTTGAAACAAAGGGTTGTGTTCACATGTAACAGCCAGTGCAGAAATTTAGCAATTGTATATAATGTACTTACTTTTTATTTTCATAAAGCTAAAGCCTGAATTCCATTTTTATAAGTTACAGAAATAAAATGGTAAAACAACAGGCTAGACTACATCACAAACAGGTCCTAACAATACAGATTGCTGATTAGGAATTATTTCTTGTTTGTAACTCACAATTCAAAGTACACAACAAGAAGAAATAAAGGCCAAAAGGAAAAGATGCAAATTGTGCTGTGATAAGGGCTTCTTTATAAGTTGTTACTGTTCTAAGGCTTCTAGAGCAGAGAAAAAAAAAATGAAATTACTTTTGAAGTAATTTTACATGTAAAAAAAAAATTTACATAGATTTCTAGCTTCCAAAATTCCTCATTGACATAGAAATCTACACAGAAACAGAAAAGCCAAAACTTTTCTTCTAATGCATTTAAAAACTTCTCTTGTGAAAAATGAAGGAAAAAAAAATCAAATTGCGCAGGTAGAGCTTACTTCTATCAGGAAACACAGCAGCAGAGTTGAATTTGCCTTTGGACAGAGTAACAAACTGGGTGGAGCCAGGATGCCCGCCGGGTGTATTATAGACAATTCTACACGCATTCCACAACTCATTTTTTTGCATAATGATTTAGAAGAATGACTTTGTGCCCTCTGGGAAGCTGAGAAAACGAAGAAATGTTTGCACATGGACATGTAGCTCAAGACATGGAAGAAAAAGACTCGTAACTCATGTGCTAAAAAAAAAAAAAAAAAAAAAAATAACAAACAAAAACCAAATACAAGGCTTGTAGGCAGAAAAAAATAATATATTTTAGATTGGGGGGGGGGACACAACAAACTTTTCAGTACCCTGATCCTTCCGTGACTCTGAAATAAAGACGTTTCAAGAAGTGAACCCAGATAGGGAAGAGCTCTGTCGGGTTTAGAGATTAGCAAGGCCAGTTTTGCACAAGAAAAAGCGGTTAGCACTTGTCCCTGCAAGCCAGCGGTCCTCGGACCACTGCAGCTACAGCGAGGTGCTCCTGGGGCGCAGGTTTCCAGCAATGGTCTGAGCAGCTCAGCGCGTAAGGCAGAGGGAACAGAAGCAGCGCGGGCTACACCGGAGCCCTGGAGAGCAGTAGTGCAGCAGGGCGCGAGGCAGGGAGAGAGCGGAGGGATCACCCCTTGGCCGCGCCGGTACCTGCGAGGGCGAGGCCACCGGAGTGGCTCCCGGGCGGGCGCGGCTGCCGGCGCAGACGCTGCGGGGAGCCCCGCTCCGCGGGCAGCAGCTGCGGCAGTAGCAGCAGTGCCGGGCAGCAGCCGAGGATGCCGAGTGCCCGCTACATGGTGCCGCGGCCGCCGGCCCCCGGCCCCCGCCCCGTCGCCTTTAAAACTGCCGACGGCAATGGAGGCCACTGGATGGGATGGGACCGAGGGCTGCCCTACTCCGCCCAGCCCGTGGGTGCTGCCTTCGGTCTCTGGGCCCGCCCCGAGAGGGAAGGAAGGGCTGGGAGAATCGAAGCTCGGCTTTGGTAGCTAGCGCCAGGGCGAGGGCAGGCTTCAAAACTGGGAGCAGCGGGAGCTCAGCCAGAACCTCTGCCTTTCTCCCAGCGCTGCAATCATTCGATCAGGATCTGCCAACTTTGCACTTCCGGTTTCAAGGCTTTAGCTCTGGGCCAGGATTTGCAAAGAAAGGGAGAAAAAGCTCACAGCGTGATCACCGAGGCACAGTAAACCACCTCCCCTGTTGTCAGACCTAACCTAGGGCACTTTGTCTGGTCTCTGGCGCTGCAGGTCCTGCCAGTTCCTGTGGGAAGCTGCAGCAAACTGTAAGGAAAAGCACGATTTAGGACACGAACCCACTACTGTTAGAGAATAGTAAAGTTTTTCTCTGTAACTTTGTTTTTTCTCTGTAACTTTGTGTGGTTGTTCTATCATAGAACTCCCCTGTTTTGATATTAAGGAAGGGGGGCAGTTTTGTGATGGGATAAACATATAATAATAGATGGGATAAACATATAATAATAATAATAGAAGAATAGTAGAAATAGTTATATTTTATATTTTAAAGGTTTATGAATTAATAGAAGGCCTTTATATGTGGCTGGAGCTTTGCTGTTCTAAATTTTAGCTATTCTGCAGATTTAGCAATAACTATGCCTGTGCCATCTTTTAACTCTGTGCCACCCTGTAACTGTAGTTTTTAGCAACAGAAACTAACCTAACCATATATGGTACAGGGAGTGTAGGAAGGAATGAACTGTGGAGCTATACCCGAGTAGAACCGAAACTTTAGAAAGCCAAAAAGCATACCAGAAGCTGATAAGAAAGTGCTAGCATCCACACAAGGGTTGGGATATGTCCCAGTAAGGGAAAGGTGAAGAGGACGACCTGAGGAAGACTCCTTACTTCATCAGGACGACCACCAGAGGGGGCTGCGCAAGCGCAGAAGAGGCTGATGTCGTAACATTTATGATGTGGCAATCCTTAATGAATACGTATTAGCTGATGTTGTAACCTGTGCTAAATGTGTATAAATTGCGAACGCGATGTGACGAGGCCGGAGCCAGATTTGGGTGCGTACCCCTGGTTCCCCAGCGCTGCAATAAAACACCTCATATAACCATTCCGGTGGTTATGTGTTTGTTCCTACGCTAACACTACAATCTGCAGCACAGTCTTTTAGAAGACAACTTTGCTGACCCCACAGTTGACACAGGCGATCATTTTGCTCTTAACCTCTATAAGAGGAATAGGAACCCCAAAAATGCTCTGAGGGCTGAACACCTTTCTTATGAAGACAGGCTGAGAGAATTGGGCTTGTTCAGTCTAGAGAAGAGAAGGCTCTGGGGAGACATTAAAGGGGCCAACAAGAAAGCTGCAGAGGGACTTTTTACAAGGACATGTAGGGACAGGACAAAGTGGAATGTCTTTAACATGACAGAGAGTAGATTAAGATTACATTAGGAAGTTCTTCACTATGAGGTTAGTGAGACACTGGCACAAGTTGCCCGGAGAAACTGAAACTGATGTGGCCTATTGTGTACAGGGGGGTTGTACAAGGGGGTTAGACAAAATGTACAGAGGGGGGCTGTGCAAGGGGGTACTGCTTAAGTTATAGCTGGCTTGACAAGCTTAGCAGATGCCTTATCAGGCAGTACCAGGGTAGAACCTTCTAATGAGGACAACAGAGGGGTTTGTACAAGGGGGTACTGCTTAAGTTATAGCTTGTTTGACAAGCTCAGCAGATGCCTTATCAGGCAGTACCAGGATAGAACCTTCTAATGAAGAGAACAGCTCATTAAATAAGTTGGACATAGACCAGACCCATCCAGCTCCTAAAGAGCATGCGTGAGGAGCAGAGGTAAAAAGTTCAAACCTGAGGAAGACTCGTTTACTTCATCTTGAAGACCCCTACCCACAAGAGGAAGACTACTTACTTCATCTGAAGACCCCTGCCCAAGACCACCAGGAGGGACTGTGCATGCGTGGAGAGCCTTTTAGCTCATTATAATACAAAGCGGGGATAGAATATAAATATGTATAGGCGTATTGCGCATCCTAACACATATGTACAACTTTACAGGATAAATGTAGAAGGAAAACGGCACTGAGGTGTGCATGCCTTTTGGAGCACCAATCCCCCGTGCGCCTTCAGCTGAATAAAGCATACCTGCTTTACAACTTTAATGAGTTGTGAAGTCTATTCTGCTATCAGAAACCATAGCTGCCCCATCCCTGGCAGTGTTCAAGGCCAGGTTGGACAGAGCTTTGAGCAACCTGGTCTAGTGGAAGGTGTCCCTGCCCACTGTAAGTGGGCTGGAACTGGATGAGCTTTAAGGTCCCTTCCAACCCAAACTGTTCTATGATTTGAAACAGGACCCCACACACCCTCACAACCCACCAACAGTATCGCCCCAGGCAGGTATTGCCCCACTTCAGCAAGAAGTCTTGACTGCCTGGTAGATGAAGGCCATCATACACTCACAAAGACTGCAAACAGCATCAGGGGAGTGGGAACAACTCCCTTCACACAGAAAGCCACAGTACACGGTCTGGTAGAGTAAACCAGCTTTCATCTCCTGGAGGGAGCTGCAGCTCTGAGCAACAGCACAGGCACACACACTCCCCACAACAACTTCAGGCAGTGCCTGCTGCTGCCAAATACTGCTCACCCACGAGATCACCCAGGTGCATTTTGGGAAGCCTCAGTGCCCCCATCAGGCTGTGCTCATACCCAACTCATTGAAGTTCCTCTGATGCCCATGGTCAGTCAGCCAACAAAGGAAAGAGCAAGGCTTTAGCTTCATTCTGTAACACAGAGGGAGTCTCCCTGATGCAGATGGATTGTGGCCACAGTGTATGCCAAGATGGGTACACGAGTACAACACACAACCCGAGCAGTTCCAGCGGTGTTTCTTATACCACTTCAGTTTCACATGGTCTTTCAGCACCCCCCCCGGAGTTAAGGTGCTTGGCCAGCAGATTCCCCGGTTATGGAGTCCTTTTGTAAGCCCCAGTGCAGTGCCTTTGAAACCCAGACACTGAGCACCTCTGCCAACAGAGGCAGGTATGCATCAGAAGGGCTAGTGGTGCTAGAGGAGCAGCACGAGGGCCTTGAACCACCATGGCCTAACATGCTCTCACAGATGTAAAAGGAAAACTCAGGTAAAGGAAAACTTCACTGAAAGGAAAACTCAGGAAACTATTACTGATGGCATGGTAAGGACAGAGGGAACTTACAGACATGTTAGGGGAACAGAAAGGAAACATACTTGAACAGGCTGGAATAACCAACAATCTTTGTGCTGTAGATATTTGACTCCTTTTTTTTCCAGAGTTTGATCCCAACTCCCTTTTATCTTCCAGTGTAGGAAGCCATTTTTTCTTCAGATACATTAGCAGATCACCAAGTTATGTTTTACCTCTTAACTACAGAGAAGGAAGAGTAGAAAGTTCTTCAGCTGAGTTTGTTGTTCCTTTTTTTAGAACATCCATTCAATAACTTAGGACATTTTCCAGTGTAAACCACACCGTAGTCCCTCTGGGTGTCTGTCCTGTTCTTAATGCGTGAGCTCATCAGGCATCAAATTTGCCCTGAGAGCCTGAAGCTTCCAGTACAATTCCCTTTTCCCAGCTTATGCGTTAAATAGCAACCAGACAAGAAGACAACTGAGTACATGATCTGCAAAGGCTGCAAACTGAGCATAATACCTCAGAGGGAATACCCATTCTCCACCCACAGGAAGACATCTGCTGAAGAAGAGACCAGCCACTAAACAACCCATAGGAAGCTCATGTACATGAAGCTGCATGTATGTGGGACCACTTGCAGCACACTGAAACACTTAAACCCCAAACCCAGCAGACAAACCAAGTGAGGCTACTAGTAAATGTTTTGTAAAAGATTTATTTAAGTAACCTTTATCACAAAGAGAAAAATACATATAAGATTAGAAGCATGCAACCATCTTCACATTTCTATTTATTTTTCTTGCATTTGTAGCACATGGTAATAGATGTCCTGTGCCACTCTCACTTCTTCCTGAAAACTCCTATGTTTCAAGACATAGGATAACAAAGAAACCCACAATGAAGGTAAGATAACATATCAGGAAAGTGCAAAGTAAAAAAAGTCACATATATACCACATTCAAACCCTGTCCCCCTCCAGAAACTGGATAAAGGCAAACTGTCATATTGCTGCACAACCAGATTGTCTTTATGACCTACTTTACAAAAAAAATATAAATTAAGGGTATGATCCTGCAGATGCTTATAATTGTAGCTAACTTCAATTGCAGATTGGCTCAGTTGGTATTATTAAAAGCCACAAGTTAGTCACATGCATAAGTTCTTGCAGTATAAGGCCCTAAGGCAAGAAAATGTTTAAGAGCATTAAGGAGAACAAAAATTAAAGCAAACAAAATCACTCTCAGATGTGTTTTGCTTAGTAAAGTTTGTATCAAACAGTTGAAACAGAACAGTTTGCTCCTAAAGCCCTGAATATTTTTATTTGCAAGATTAAAAGACAGAACCCCCAGGAAGCTGGTACAGATGTTAATCAACATAAAAATTGCTTCAGGCAGGTATGTAGGGAGGTGGAGGTTCCTTCTCAGGCATCTTCACTGCCATTTCATAGGTGGGCAGAACATACTGAGGAGAAGACATTTTGAAGAGATTAATGTAAAGGTTTAGGAAAAAAAAACAAACCCCAAAACAACAAAAGTGTTGTTGCCCCATCAGCATCTTAACCCTCTGTTGCAGGTAAATGTTTAAGAACTTGCTGCTGTTTCCAGTAAGACAGTGATGAAGCGGAAGAAGGTGCAATGGTGTTTACCGCTCTGCTGAACCTAACCAAAGGTCATCCATTCCACCCCACCACCTCTAGGTTTTGCAAAGCAGCAACAAAGAATTTGACTGGTGTCATCAGAAAGCTGCACTACAAGAACATTCACGGACTCCTCTCTATAAAGCCTCCTACTTTATGCACTGTAAGATTGTAACTAAAAAATAACCCACCATAAAATCAAGCTGCTTTAACTTTTTTTCATTTTTCTAGTCTTTGTTTAGAAAGCTGGACAAGGGTTGTAAACATACATGATACAGTGTTTTTATACAGGTTCCTTTTATTTCAAAAAAGAGGTTTTACCTGTGGAGGAGCTTCAAAAGCCGGGTACACAGCTATCTCTGGGAAACGTCCGTTGCTGATGTATTTATAGCAGTTCCATACACAGTTAATTAGATATGCCTAAAAGAAGAGAGATTTCTCTTTTTAAAGACCTCATACAAATTAACTGATTCAGAAATCAGATGCTGGCTTACATTCATATGACAAAAAGGAGCATAAATCAACTTAGTCAACACATCCCTAAAGCACAGTTGCCATTTCCCAGATGTAGCCATGCATTTAGCTTCTGCTATAACAATGACTCAGAGCATGAGCCACACACACGTTTTAGCAAAAGAATTCACGGATCCATTCAGCTAATCTATCTGCCTCAGCAGTGCTAGTTGAATTAATCCTCAACTGGCTCGTGCTTCTGTGGGTATCAGTCCAAACTTGCCAGGAGGAAGATGAGGAGGAGGAGGAGGAAGATAAACCAGCACAGTCCTACTCATCCCTGAGATAACATTGCTACTTGTCCAACTACCAGTGAGAAAAAGAAGGCACAAACGCACAACTGGGAAAGGCAAGAAGATGGCAGAGCAGCCTGGACTTTCAGTTCGCATTAACTGCTGCAGAAAGACATCCTGTCATGTTGCGTAGATTATTACGTTTTTTATTATCATCATCTGTATAACATTAATCTCTCAATTTTTCACTGTCAGGCTAGCATGTGGTTATACACAAGGTACTGAATTTTCTAATCATTACAAAAATCTACCATATTAGGCTTCCACTCCCTCAGCAAGACATTCCTCTTGGAAAAAGTACAGAGGATTAGGAAAATTCTTTTTTATTCATTTTTTCTTAAATACAATATAGAATCATAGAATAGTTAGGGTTGGAAAGGACCCTAAGATCATCAAGTTCCAACCCCCCTGCCATGGGCAGGGACACCTCACTCTAAACTATCACCCAAGGCCTCGTCCAACCTGGCCTTGAACACTGCCAGGGATGGAGCATTCACAACCTCCTTGGGCAACAATATGAATGCAGTAAAGGAATATTATCATGGCCAATGTATATTACCAACTCGTTTCTCTAACCTGCTTTGTCAGCACAACAGTTTTTGTAATTCAAATGAATGCCTCTGTATTTAGATTTGCAATAAGAAAATAACTGGTCAGATCACCCTTTAGTAGATAGAAAGATGCAGCTCTGAATTAACCTATGCATTTCCTCCTTCCACTGCCTTCCTTTCAAAACATTCACCCCTGGTTTGTTAGGCACAGTGAGTGACAACATCAAGCACTGGGAATTAACCCAGACTGATAACATCTTTATATAGTAACTCATGGAACAGACACATGTTTAAGTTTTAACTTACCTTTAAGATGATAAATAAAGCAAAGACCACCAAAACAATAAACAAGAGACAGCTGGAGTCCAAGGCAAGAAGATCATCTTTGTAAGGGAAATCCGGCTAGTTAAAAAAAAAATAAGGAAGGGAGAGAAAGGGAACAGATAAGCGTGAACACTGCATAGTAACAAATATGACAGAACATCCAAACTTCACACCAAATGCAATCAAACTCTTGCATAAACTACTCTGCCATAAACAAAGAGCTCTGTTTCTCACTAGTTTCTTCTTTATCTTCCCATGAAGCACAGTATTCGTACTGCCTGTTCTGCAAGAACAGGTCAGTTCAGAGAAGGGCTACCTATACAGCAGCCTTGTACTATGCCCCTACTCACTTCCTCAACCCCATGCTGATACAAATATCCATGAAATTTCCTTTTTAACAGCCGTAGCACAACATTTGTACCTGTGGTCCACTACAAGTCTTCAATGACTTACATGTCAATTACCCCCTGTCAGTCCAACAGTAAGTAACATGTGTGCAAAGCAGAACACAAAAATTTGCCCAAGCTTAAGAGCTAAAACAAACAACTTGTGAGTTTCACCCTTCTGTTTCCCTGACCACAGTAACAAAGCCTCTCTCCAATACAATTTTTTAATCTATTTTTAAAAGTTGTTTTTTTTTTACATCTACTTGAACAAATCTAAACACCAGCCAGAAAGAACGTGTAAACACCATTAACTCAGCATATTCTACCCATTGAGTCTTATTGCAGTTAAAATATAGGCAGTGTTAATGAAAACTCTTTTACAGTTTCCTTAGAAGATATTGTTGCAAAATAAGAAGAGCCATGCAGAACGTAAAAAGGAACCCTCAGAATCCCAGATCCCATCCCATAATCGTGTAGGATCCTATACAGCTACACTTATCTATGCTTTTCTTCCCTTTCCCCACCAAATAAGCATCAACACATTTTCAATCTGCAGGAGCAAACCTACAGTAGAACCACATTGCTTAAAGGGTCACAAACATTATTGTTTTGAGTACAAATGCAGCAAAGACAGTTTAAACCAACAATTCCCATCACAATTCTTTACTCTCACTGGCTTTCCTTCTAGGGAACAAGGACACCTTTAGCACTTCCACCTCTGTTAAAGTCTCCTTCTTATAACCACCCTAGCACTCACCCCCTGTGGCTGCTGTAGTCTGAATTTCTCATTCTTAGGCACAGGAAAGTAACTATAGCTTAGTCACACAATTAAACCAAAGTTTAATTTCAAATGTAAAGGACTAACTGAAGCTGAACAAACACTTACCAACTGATCCAGGTAATCCTTGATTCTGGGCAGGTAGGTTAGAGAACTGATGGCAACCAGACAGCTGAGCACAAAGTCAAAGAGCTGGTAACAGAAGAAGGGGATGAGCCAGCCTACACGATGCTAAGGAGTGGGGGGGAAAAGAAAAATAGTGACCCTCTGGAAGATACTCGGTTAAAAATTAAAGTAGCAAGTTTTAAACCAGGGGCTATAAACATACTTACAGCAATTGCACCATACACCATCATTGCACTGATTGTGAACATGAGGAGGGAGATTGCAAACAGAACACAAGCATTTTCTGCATTAAAAGAAAAACAATCATCAGTCATTTCCTGTAGCTGTCACACTGCATCTCACAGATACCTGAGATCTATCCATCACCAGGTTCTGCTCTCAACAGTTACATTTGATCAAACGAGCAGCAGCAGAACCAAGTTAAGTCTCATCTTTACCAATGGGAGAAGACCTGATTCAAGAAAACCAGAAGGCATTTGTAAAAATCCCTCTGCCTTAATCAAAAGCCTGAACAAGGCTCAAATACATGAGTTAGAAGCCTGACATAGACTGACAGTAATGCAACATAAAGATGCTGATTTGCAATATACGTCAGTGCTAAAGTTATGTGGGTGATTATCTTTACAACTGGAAAGAATTTTAAGTAAAGCCAGCCCAGTATCAACCTTTACACTTTAAAATGGTTTGATTATATAATTCAGTCATTGGTAGCAAGAGTAGCACGGTTCCTTCAGTAACAATAAGGAAAACAGGAAATCACTGCATGGAAGGTATCCCATTATTTACAAGAAAAGGCAGCTGAACAGAAGCCAAGTGGTAGCAGAATCCAGGACACTCAGGGAAACTGAATGATAAAGATTCTTCCTGTGTATCACAATTACTGATGACAGAAAAACAGCTGCTTTCCACAAGTTAGGTTATACTCACTCTCATACAGCAAGCACAGTTCACACTTTTAAACACAGAGAAAGAAACCAGTTTGAGAGTCTATAGATGTGTTAAGTTAATGCTTTTAGCAATGCTGAAGCCAAACTGTTGTGGTTCCCATGCTTGAAAGAGATGATCTGAGAATCATAACTTTCTAGTCTGCAACTGATTTGAGAAGATACAATGCAGAAGCACTCATTTACCCAATTCAGTACAAGATAGTATCTACACACACAGATGGCATCAAGAAGGACGTCCTCCCATGACCAAAATACACTGCATTGATCAGGAAACCCTAAGTACTCAGCATAAGCAGCAAGTACTGTTACTCACAATAGCCACATGGCACAATCAAAATCGTAATATCCCTTCATGCATACAAAACCCTCTGGCCTATATCCTAACATGGCAAACAAGAATCTTAGAGTCAAAAGCACATGATAGCCATTTGACACTAAAAGTGTTTCAGTCATATAAGCTTAAGGCTACCAAGAACACCAACACTCATTACTGAACATGTGACATTTTACATGTATCTGCTTTAATTTCATTTGAAATCTTGGCAGAGGTGTTTGTCCCTTTTCCACTCTCATTTCATTACTAGCAAATGTGAGATACAGTCACAGGTCAGAACTGAGAAATCTCCTCAAGCCAGACCATGAATAATTAACATGAAGACTATAAAACAGAACTCTGGAACCCTCAAAAACAGTCCTGTAGTACAACTCAATCCCAGAATAATTAAAAAGAACTTCAGACAACAAGACAACCATATAAAAAAAGCTGTATGCATGTTACACATCTAGTGTAAGGCAATTACACCACGATATTGCACGCTTTATTTCTAATCAGACAACAGAATTGTACACCTACCAGTCACTCTCTCAGAAGCATAGTAATTTCCGATGACTTCATAGTGGATATCAACAGTTGGCACTGTATTTGGATGAGTCACCTCTACTGTCAGCAAGATGCCCATCAGCAAGTTCACCACCTGAGAAGGATCACAGTTACCTAAAGGTTATTTACACTGAAACAGCTATGAGCTTCTCAAAGACACATTAACAAAACTTTTATTTTAGTTAGAATCTTTGCTTTACCGGGGGGGGGGGGGGGGGGGGGGGAAAGAACAAAACCACCCAACACAAAACTGAATAAAGTTTCAATATGGTTTAGTTAAACTACTAACAACCAGAAGAGCACTGAACTCTTGCTAGTTTTAATGAATCATAACTAAACAACTTTGTAAACAAACAGGATGGATAGGGTTTGTAGAGAGCAAATGATATAGTTTAAATGATGCTGCATGATGAATGCAGAGATCCATGAACCAGAAAACTGGAAACAGTTAAAAAGGCCAGGAAGGAAACAGACACAACAAGGGACATCTGGAAAGAGTTTATGCTTTCTACAACAAATTGAAAGGCAGAGTTAACTCAATGCACAAATACGGTACTGTACCCTTCTCTCAGACAGCACTGAGGGGGCAGGCAGAACAAGGCAATGTGTAAGCATCACACAGTAAATACTGAGAGCATGAGGAATAACTTCCGCTACAGCTCTGATCAAATGTAGCTTGCTTCTTGGTTTCTTCCAAGAAATGAAAATTTAATACAAGGACTGAACGCACATGCAGATGTCTCTCCCCTCACATTTTGTTACATACCAGAAATGCTTTCAGTACTAGTAAGCTCAAGAGAATCAAAAGTAGCTGAAGATTCTGGAGGGGGGTGGGGTTGGGGGGTGGGGGGAAACAAAAAAAAACCCCATGCCTTCACAGTATTTACAACTTATTCAAGACTTACAGGGCACAATTTCTGTTACTAGTATGTGGAGAGACATGCCAAAGGTTGCATAACAAAAAGAAGTGTAATGGTGGCATTTTGAAGCTGCCAATCAGTATTCAGTGCAGGCACCGCCAGCAGGATCTTTCACAATTTGCCTCAAGAGAAAATAACCAAACTGGTTTGCACTTTCTTACAACTTACACATGTCTGCCTGATAGTTCTTACACTGGCTTGGTTCCAGGAGTTAATAATAGCAGTAGTGGCTATGCACAATTACAAAAGTTTTCAGTAACATAAAAAAAGCTTTTGACCATTTAAAAGGAGTTTTAGCTTTTAAGACTTAAGAGTTCCTACCATCAACTCACTGTTGCTACCAGGTTTTGTTTTTGCGGGGTTTCCCCCCCCCCCCTTTAAACAGGATTTTGTTGTTTGGTTTAGCTTTAGTGGTTTGGGTGTCTTCCGCCCCCCCCCGGTTTATAGCTATCATGGCAATAAGCTCGCTTACTCTTTCTGCTAAGAAGAACCTTTCAGTGAAATCAAAGCTGATCGCTCTGTAGAAATGCTATCATGTCATCATGTATTATACAAACTAATTAGAAATTCCAGCTACTTTCATCCACTTGTATCCTTTGTTTTATGCCTTGGAATGTAAAAATACAGTAACTAGTACAGCTGCCAATGAAGAACTAAGTTTAGACACCAATATGTTTAGCCTTGAAACGAGCATATTTTTCCCCCTCACAACACACTTCTTTCAGGGCTTACTGTCAAGTTGTTCATCTGCCACTTGTCTTAGGTCTTGTATTTTGCTTCCCCATTATTCAAATGTATAGAATACTACATTCTCTTACTATTCCCATTTCATCCTTCTGTACTCTGGCTTTCTGCTCTCAAGGTATTTTCCAGGCTTCTATTTCCTCCTCTCAAAGTAAACCAGCGATACTGACCTACACTTTATGAAGTAACTTCCTGCTCTATACCCGTTTTAAAAAGCCTATGTCAAGATTCAGATCTCTGGCAGTTCAAGCACTGATTTCTACTTCATAAAACACAAAGAGGCACATTTATTTATTACTTATACACAATCAAAATTATAATTGAAACAGTGATAAAGTTCAGGACAAAATTCAATTATTACTTAAATACCAAGTTTTACTGCCATGATTGGCACTCTGCCTCAAGGCAAAGAGTAAGCAGCACTTGAATTAATATAGAAGTACTCAAGAACCTGAATGCCTTGGAATGGTGAGACTGATCCTGCATTTGTTGCTTTTTTATCCTATTTTCATTCTATCCGTGGTCCTAATTTAGAATACTGAAGTCCTTTGCAATTTTCACTAGTTACTGAATGCAGTTTTAAGTATTACTTTATTTTCTCAACCTGAAATGGCATGAAGGAAAACAGAATATTAAAGAGTTGTTCAAAATCCAATCTATTAGGTTCAATCAGTGAGAGAGAATAAAAATAGTAACTTAAAAAACAAGAAACCCAAAGCTCTGCCAATAAACACCCCAGGGTTTCCAGGACTCCATTACTACTATTTGTCAATCACATCACAGCACTGAGCAATTCATCATATTCAACATATGGATTTCAACTAAGAGTAACCAACAACTCAAAACTAGTAGTCCTTTTAAGCACAAAGCCAGAACCTGCATTTTAATCACCAACATTCTTCTTTCACAGAAGCTTGATTTAATAGCAAGACCACAATGCCAGTTTCAACTTGATAGTCAGTGTGACTAGCAGCAAGAGTACAGTTTGAATTGCAAGGCATCGTCAGAGCTTCAACAAACATACTCGCTGTGAATAAAATATAAGTTCACAAATGGTGTATATGGGGAAGTCAGAAAACTCACAGCACAGGTAAGCACCAGTGTCAACTGAAGATTATAACCACCATCCCCTTAAGAGCTGACAAATCCAACTTGGTGAAGAGTGCCCTATTCTGAGGCGATACCTCAGGAGACCCAGCAGTCTCCAACCTAGTCTTTTTTGTTAGAAAGTTTTTTTAAAAAAAAAAAGAAAAAAGAAGTACAAAATGGATGTTCAAATTCTGATTCAAAATATGACTCCACTAAGATGAAAAAATTTAGTTTTCTAGTAATTTAAGAAATGTATTTTGCTGTTATAGTTGGGATAACTGATCTCAAAGTTTCATGTAGCTTATATTAAAATTAAAAAATACAGTATCTGGTATTAAAGTAGAAAGTCAGCTTTTTTGGTACAAACTGGTAACAAATATTAGCTCCCCATATGATCAGAACTCAAATGGTTGTGGGATAAGCATTATCTTTTCAATCAGTGAGCTGTATCTCCATGGTATACATTTAAAACCCAATTATGCAAGTGCTTTGTCTCTCTGGAGGCCTGAGCACAAAGTCCAGGTTTCCTCAAGCACTACAAGTAACTAAAAGTATTGGACATAAACAAGAATTCAACTTATAATTTGCTTATTCCTTCTTAAGAGCGAGAAAGAAGAAAATTGCCCTGCACTACTCCACCTTCTCATCTCTGACTTTCCCTGTGTTTTTTCTTAAACATGCTTCTGAAGAAACAAACCAAGATGGGGGGTTTGTTTTGGTTTTTAACCATACTGAAATAATAAAAATAATAATTTTAAATGGGGTGCTTCAGACCTTCTAGCACTTTCAAGATTAGGCTGGGACAAGTTACATTTCTTCATTTCTGGTGATCTTGTTCAGTGAACAAATGACTCGAGATCCTCCTCACCCTCCTGCTAACCAGTAGCAATTGCATCATTTTGATTCCATCGCTGAAGTCTGCTGCCAGAATGAAACAGCCACTCCCTCCAAAACAATGCTAGTACTTTTGAAGTGTTTATTGAACTTTGATCTGATTTTTGCTAGCACAGTGTTCATACTTCCGGTTTCTGGAAAACATTGCCTAGTAAGAAAGCTTACAGGAAGAAACAAACTCCAAAACCACACATTTGCAATTATGGAGCTAGGAATAGGAGGTTTCTGTTTCCTTCCTACACAGGACAGCAGTGGGTGTTGCAGAGTAAACCAAACTGTATTAGCACAAGAACTTAAGTATGAGTATGCTAGAAACATTCTTAATTCATCTTTTTGCACATACAGCTTTATGTATTTATCAGAAACAACAGCACATGCGTAGAAGACAGTTTGACCACATAGCATCAACAGCAGACATTTTTATAAGATAGTATCTTATATGTCTCTCTAGACTCACTACTCAATAAGGACAGTGATATAATTGGTCTAGCAAGGAGACAAGTTAATTAGATGCAAGGCTTGTAAGTACACAAATAAGCAAGGAATAGGAAAATGCCTAAAGAAACTGTTACATAACGCATATGTATTAAGTAGCCAAAACTCTTATCTTACTAAAAACATCTGGAGTAGACTGCTATGCAACTCCATTTTGTGTTTGGTATCAAATTCCTTCAGGACTGCTCAGCACAAGAACATAGTCTATCCAGTAAATAAAAGCTGACCAAGATTTTCAGTAACATGAAGCTATTGTTGAACTGAGCATTCTCCCCCACCAAAAAGCTACCTCCCTTGCAAAACAAACAAACAAAAAATAAACTAAAAAACCCCCACAAATAAATGAAAAATCCCACCCTAAGAGTTACTATTTGTCCCACCTACAACTTTCAAGCACTAATTTTAGAACTAATTTAGACATACTTATCACAAGCTAGTGTCTGAAAGACTGAAGTTAGTGACACACTTAAATGTTGCATTAATCACCTTAATATGCCCTAGGCCATTTAATTTATTGTCAGCAGAAAAGTAAGTTTAATTACCACTGCCCGAATTATACTTGGCTTTCAAAAGGTATGAATTATAGTTGAATTCTGATTTAAAGCATTAGGCAAGACCACCTAAGGCTTCATGGTAAGACCTTACTTATTTCAGCTCAAACAGCTAATAATTGTCAGACTTAAGAGTTACCACCTTTTCCCAGCTGACAGCTGGAAAGAAATGGGTAAATATTTTCAATACGTAGTTAAGGTGATACAGTTTATAGAAAAAGCACAGCTGTGAAGTACTTCACATGCACACTGCTACCCTGAACTCACTTTGTTCTTCCCTTCTAGCAGCCTGAAATCTGTTGCAATTACAAGAGAACAAAGCAACACTTGGTCTCACACACTACTCCAGCTCTGAAGCCATCATCGATGACCCACATACTTCCCACTGTCGGTCTGTGAGCACTACAAATACTTGCAGAGACTCAGGCAGGAGGGAGAGGTACTACATCCGAGCAACAAGATGCTACGGAAGCACAGCAAGAGAGGTAGAAGCTGTAAGTACTACTGGGTCTGTGGCCATAGAAAATACACCCCTGTCCACCATTCCACCAAGTTCCTGGGTTTCTAGATGCTCCTGCAAGCAGAAAACTAAAGCAGAGAAGGCAGAAGGTTTGTAACAAGAATGAGTGCCTCTTTACTGTTAACAATTTATGCTTTTACTTGAGGTACCAGAAGCATATTCTTGATCTCCTCTACCAGCACAGGGTAAAACTTCTGGAGGGTCTGCAGGTTACCAGAACAAGTCTCCTGTTCAGTACTGCAAGGACCTTACTTTTCTATTTTACATGAACTAATAACAGAGCTTAATCGAGGCCACAACGTTTTTTTTTTCAATTTCCTTTTGAAAAAGGAGAAAACAAAGAGAAAAAAACCAAACACCCCCAAAAACAAACATACAAAAACAAAAACCAAACAAACAAAAAAACCAACCCAAAACCAAAACAAAACCCCCAAAGCCCCTTTCCTAGAGTTTTGGTACACTTCCCACCACCCACCTTGCTTTTTCTTCCACTCTCCTGCCGTTTTATTGCTCGTTTGTAAATATTTTTTTTAATCAGTGGAACTACCAATATGAAAGGAAAAAACCCCCAAAAAACCTCTACCCATATATTTGCTGAAGATAAACCATGAACTCCACAAACTTCAAACCCCCACTGCCTGTAAAAGCACTTTCTGTACATGGCTCCTTTATATCAAGGCACAAAAATTCAGCATTGTCTTATTTTTATAATCTGGGGAATGATAAAGGAGAATACAGGCTTTGGTTACAGCTTCAGGAGAACAGAAAAGGTATGATGTAACATTTTTAAACTATCCTCACATTTTTTTTTTTACAGCCCATGAGGGTAAGGGGAAGGAAAAACGAGGAAATTACTTCAGTAAAGAGGAACTCAGCTTACCTTTAAGAGAACTAAGGGAAATTAACGCTCCATGTCTTAACTTGCTGGTACTATTGTGAAAACAGCATTTCACTCTACTGCAAAAATATCCCTTTAACATTTCAGCTCCACCACTACAGCACTCTCTCAGAAAAAGCACCCACCAGTCAAAAAACGAGGTGTTTTGGAAACCAGATCTCTTTGTATTACCCCTCTGTGTTGAGAATACAGAGTACCAAACAACTGGAACTTGTTGAAACGCTTTATGGAAAGCTTTTCAACAAGTGGAAGTCATGCTCATTTTGAAGACCTTCATCTTCCTCTCAGAAGTTAAACACTACTCAGGGGAACCACATCTTAGAATTATAAAATCACAGAATGTTTGGCTTGGAAGGCGCCTCAAAGCTTATCTAGTTCCAATCCCCTGCCACAGGCAGGGGCATCTTGTACTTTACCAAGTTGCTCAAAGCCCCATCCAGCCTGGCCTTCAGCTGGACAGCCACAACTTCCCTGACGTACCCATATTCCAGTTTCCCCAAGCATCTCCTCTCTTACCAAGGATATTTTCAGGACTGCCTGAAACACAAGTCCCTATGCCTCCAATCCAAGAAAAGTAATAGTAACAAAACCCCTCACGGAGCCACATTAAGATGCCCTGAACTTCTACTTGATTTTCTTTCCCTAGCCGCCACAGATGAGGCCACCGGGGAACAACTGTGTCAGGCAAGCTCGAAACACACTCCAGACGGAAGAGGGGCTCGAATCGCGCGGATGACTGCAGGAAACCCATGCAGCTTCCCCCGCCGGGAACACGAGGCACAGTCTTAACAGCTGGCAAGACACAGCCGACTCCCAAAGTGGGGACAACTGCTGCGGTGAGAAGCAGCCCCGCTGTGCCCACCCCCACAACTCCCTCATGGCCCCACTACAGCCTCGCCACAGCCCCCCTCAGGACCCCCCGGCCCGGCCGCATGCGCGCTGTCCCACACCCGCGCACCAAAGCTGGGCAAAAGCCCAGCTCCACGCATGCGCGCTGCACACCCATCTCCCTCCCCCCCCTCATGACCGCCCCCTCAGCGGCGCCGTCCCTCCAGCGCCGGGCTCTCACCATGTACCAGGTACCCAGGATGATGGTGCCGGTGCGCACATGGCAGCAGCCGCAACAGCGGGTACTGTAGAAGCGGTCCCGGCTCCGCTTAAAAGTCATGGCGGCGGCGGCGGCGGCAGCAACAACTTCCGTCCTGCCTGCAAGCTTACGACTCACCCTCTCCAGCCACTTCCCCTCCAGCTGAGAACCATAAAAACCCCGCGCACGTCACTGCCCCTCTGACCAATCAGTCGCCGCGCGGGGAGTGCCTGCGGGAGGGTTAACGCGTTGCCGCGGCAACAGGAGATTGGCGGAGGTGCAGGCCAATCAGAGCACAGCTGGGTGCGATGCCTTGTAGCTTACCTGCAGCGGTGGGTTGGGGTTAATGGCTTGCTTCGTGTTTCAGGCCGTTCGGCGCGGCTGATTTCTCTCGGCCCCTTGTTCCCCTCTGGGCTCTACTGAGGCACAGCTCCGGTGGTTCCTCGCGCAGTGCCAGTGAAGGCTGGCCGGGGCAAAGGCTCGGTTGTGGCCTCCGAGTAGGCAGCCAAAGCCCTAAGGGGAAGATTGTGTTGCCCAGCGACAGCCCCTTCCATGAAAAACGGGAGGAGTTGTCTCCTTAGTAGAGCCCGAAGTGGCTTGCTTTGAGGTGCTACCAACATTCCATGGCTTTGGCTGAAGTCCAGCCAGTACTGTACAGGGTTTAATTCATTTAAACTCTTTGTTCTTTGCTTTAATTTCTTGGATTAAATTATTAATATTTTGTGTTACATGCTAAGAGGATGTGTGATAAAAGGGTAAATAGGAGAGTTTTGTGAGCCAAAGTCCCTGTAGATGAGTAGGTAATAATAATAGTGCATTCGTCACACTGAAAATTGCAGGTGCTGCCAGATACCTGTGTTAATTAGAAACTGTTTAAGTGCTGCCTTCGTATGTGTCTGGGTTAAGAGGTTGCTCCGCCACTTGGACACCAGGTCATCCGTTCCCACATGGAGCAGGACCTATAAACCTCCCCCAGCTCAGGGGCAGCTGATGGTTTTTGCAGACCTGAGCTGTTGGTACAGATACACACGCAGTTTATTTAAACCTTGGTGCAGCTGCAATTATTTCCTTCTTGGCCTTGTACAACCAACACTCTGTGTTTGCTGTGCGTATATACACAAAGATGTATGTAATTTGTCAGTATTAATACTGAGTTTCCTCATTATGAACAATGGGAAGGTAATGAGGGTGACTGTACTTGTTCTTTTGATATATTCCAGATCCTACAATTAACACATTTTATTGTTTTAGCAACTTAGTCTATTTTTAAACATGAGCTGTTGCCGAGTTTTCTTTATTTACTTAAAGGCTTTAAAACTGACCTTTTTATTTTAAATCCCCTGTGTTCCACAATTGGTATTTTTCTTCCGTAGGGTATATTTCGTTTTTGAATAAACATGTTGTAAGTGCTGCTAAGACTGCTCTAATGATCCTATTATAAACTATTGTTTATTTCTTTAATGATCCTAATGTTCTAAGCCCTGGGCACAGATGCTTAATTATCAACAGTCTGATTTAATGTAGCCAAACCGGAATGATTTTAATCAATACCCATGCATGCATGTAAATAAATAGAAAAGGAATGTGCATTTTGTTGTAACCAGTCATTTAATAAATCAGTTTTCTCACTAATGGCACTTGGGAAGCCAAAGCCAACTGTACGCCTGAACTGATTACATTGTTCCTGAAAAGCTGAGCACCTCTCCCTCCTGTTGATTGGTCCCTGTGTGAAACAGGAATCCTTAGGAACAGCTAAGAGAAAGCAGTAGCCTCTTGCTTGAGTTTGGGCATCCACTTGGAAACACCTAGATTCCATTCCCAACTGAAATGGTTTGCGAGGGCAAGTGTTCCCATGAAGATCTTGCAATTGGACACTTTGCCTTGACTAGCATTGCTGGCAGCTCTCATATCAGGTTCAGATCTTCAGAGCTGTTTTCATGAGGTGAAAGAACTCTTAATTAAGTGTTCGTATCAATGTCAGCCAGGGTCAGAATAAAAATTGATGTGATTCCTTTGAGCTTCATGGCTTGTTATACCCTGTAGACAACAAAAGACACTGGGAAGAATAATATGAATGTCATTTAACATCACAAAGCAGCTTTCCACAGCAAGATAGGCTGATGACAAAATATTGAGTGTGCATAAAAAAAAACCGAAAAATCACTCTCCAGTTTCTCCACCCTCAAAAAAAAAAAAAAAAAAAGTATTTTGAGAATTACTTCCTTGTTTCCTGTACTCTGGGGAAGAGAGAATAGGCTAATGATTTTAGTCCTACCGTCTGTGAAAGACTCCAGTTCTTTCATGCCACAGGCGGCCCAGATGACCTCAGGCAAGAAACCTCCTTCTCTGAGCCTTAATTCTGTCATTTTTCCTAGTTCAGAGAGGATTTGTGAGGCTAAATGTTTTAAAAATTCTGAAGGACTCCACTAATGGACATGGCAGCCAGAGAAAATCTCAGAGAAACAGCAAGTACTGATGATAGACTTTCCTTCCCAGATAGCAGAGCAACCTTGACACTGCAGGACCAAATCATCCACTTGCACAACAGTGAGAGCAAAAGCCTTACTCATTCTGCAAGTGAGAAGCAGCTGCAAAAGAATTATTCAGATTCCTTTACCAGCAAGGCACTTAACTCCTTCCCTTTCAGCAGGTAGGGAGAGAACAAGTTTTAATATCACGGTGTTCCTCATTAGCCAAACTTGTTCGATCTTTCAAAATCCGTGTCTAGACAGGAGATTTGAACTTCTGTCTTGAGAGGGCCTGGCAATTTTATACCAAGCACATTAGTTTTTAATAATGATATTTTAAAATAATACATGTGACAGCAGAACAGTAAGGATCGGGCAAATGAGTTGCCAGAATCCACTCTCCTTCAGCTGCTTCAAAAAGCTGAGTTCAAAACCTGCAAGATGTCAGAACAACAGAGCACTAAGACTGTTCTACGCTGATTTTTGTAATTCCCCAGTCTCTCCCTTTTGTTCCATTCTTCAGTCTATCCCTGGCTAAAAGATGTTGGTTTAGACTTATGCTGTAATCATTACTGCTCTGTGTGCACTGAACTCTTGCCAGGTTGCTTATGAAAGACAAGCTGTTACTCTCCTTCAGCATTTGCTCTGTGTGTGTGTTTGTGTGTGTGTGAATGTGTGAGGGGAAACCTACAGACCATAAGCTGATAATCATACATAACCTCCACAGGCAGAGTTGATAGCATTTTATAATTAAAATCTTGTCCTGCTTGGAACTGGGGACACTGAGGCACGGTGAGCTGAACTGATTTGATCAGCACCATGAAGGCTAGTGAATGCAGTAGGAACATCAAACATATCTCCTGTCATATGGCTTCTTTGCCAGGGAATAAAAGGTAGAGTGTAGGACATGTGGAGCTTTTCTATCTCAAATGGAAGGCACTTGAGTATAAGCATAGTAACAAGCTACTTCTGTTTTTTTCCCCTAACTATTCTCTAGGCATGTTTCTCCTACTCTATAAGATAATGTAATAATTAAAAAAAAAAAAGAGGATAGGTGACTTGGCTCTCAGACTCAGTTATTTTCTGCACTGAACAACCATTTTTAAATTAAAAAAGCAAAGTTTTTTCAACATCAGAGAGAAACTAATGTCTTTACATAGATACTGCAGTACATAACACTGGATCCATACAACAGAATTTAGAAAAACCAATAGCACTGGTGCAGAAAATGTGAAAAATATCTGGTCGGAGAGCATGGATTAGCATTTTGCTTCCTTAAAAAATATAAGAATGTATTGGAGTAAAAGCAAAGCATTAACATATCAAAAAAAGGAAAAAAAAACCCAGAAATAAATTAGTCAGGAGGGAAACTTTCCTGTTGGTGACTCACACAGTGAAATTCTAATGTTCCTGAATTCAGCATTAACAAATTTCAACAGGCTTTTTCTCCAAGATGGATTCTGCTAGAAGAAAACAAGCTAATTCAAAGATTCAGTAGTTTCTTGCAAGAGATAAGGAAGTAACAAGAATGTATCACATGGAGTTTTGTGGTTATTGGCTTTTACTTTTGTTTATTGAATTAATCAAAATCACTTTGGGGTTCCTAATGTAATGGTCCAGGCTTCTGTAGTTTTTGTTGTAGTTGAATACTGTTAATAATATGAATTATCCTTTACCAGCAAGGGTCAATTTAACTCAGTTCCAGACCTTTTAACTCATAACAGATGGATCAGAAAGTCAGAGTTAGACAAAGCAGCTAAAATATGACAGCGTGATGTAAAACTTCTATTAGCACAAGACTGTGTTTCTGGGTTACTTGCTGTTCACTTAGCTTTTCTGAATATTAAACATTGAATAAAAATTCTTGTATCCATTCAGAGAATCAAAATCTACTAAACTAGAAGAGCTGTGGTTCATTTATAGCAGCCTTCATGCATCAGAGGAGATATAAAAACGTCTAAAAATAATGTAATCTAAATTGGTACTTGCAATTTCAGATATCTCAGTACTTTCACATGATGAAAAGTGAGCAGTAGACTTCCTGGCAGTCTTCCCTTCCAGCCCTCAGCCCAAACTTGCCTCTCCATGAATCTTGGCACGATAAACAGGAGGAGCCTGAGGACCTGGATGCCACCTGCTCAGTGAAGTAGGAAGAGTTACCTCCAGGTGACTGTTATTTCTTTACACGTTGGCTCTTTGAATGGGTTTACAGTTTGAGACATGGGCAAAGTTTTTCATGAGAAATACAGTGGCAGGCATCTGATGCTGCCAGAAGCGCTCAATAGAGTCATGTATCACATCTCTTTAACTTGCTTCCACCACTAAAGGAAAATAGTGCATGCAAAGAGCAATCAAAGTTTGACAGGAAATAAAGTTCACCACATTTGTAATAGACTCCTGATGGGACAATACCAGGGTCAATTACTGTTAGAGAGGCTTTTTCCCAAGAAGACACAGGGAGTTTGTTTCTGAGACCAATGTATTACACTGTCCTTCCAGTACAGGAGGACACTTCCTTTGCAGATGCTGTGGAGCTGAATGCTGCCCATACTTGAAAGTTCAATTTGCCTTGAAAAGACCCTTGGGTCTGGTTCAGTACTACCACAGAAGAAGGACAAGACCTCATCTTTGTAGCCCATCACTTAAAACCCCCCTCTTCTCAGAAGGAGTCAGCTACCCTTAGAAAACATTCAGTATTATGGAGCAGGTCTGTGTGACTTTCTGCCAGGCAGTTAACATGTCTACCTGCAGATATTTTAGCTGTGCCACTGATCTGCAGATTGTGTGGAACCCTGATAATTATATGATCATTTACAGATAATCATGGAACAACAAGCAAAATTCCTCTCTGTGGTTGCCCCACTTAACCCTGATGGTATTATACCACAGTTTAAGTGTGAAGCAAAGCTCCAGCCTCTGCATCTGCATCCTGCAGTCTGCCTATGAGTAAACACAGCTTTATAGGTCATGAATTACAGCATTAACCACATCTTAATCCCTGAAATACTCACAGACCCATTGCTCATGGATATGGGATGTAGCCAATCCTCCACTTTCAGAAGGCTTCCCACAAGAAAGAGCATCATTACAAAAATAGAGCAGACTGAGAAAGTTGAAACTTAAAGCAGTATTTCATTATTTGCAGCTGCTGATGTAACAATTAATTGCTTGCTCCTAACCAGATCATAGATGTTTTCTCAGCCATGCTTCATCCCACCTCCTACACTGTGGCTGTGCCAGAGGCTTGGTTTCCAGCCACTGGGTTGTCTGCAGGTACAGGGAGAGCTTTTGGGTGTTCCCAAGGCATATGCTACTCAAGCAAGTAATAAATTGCTTGGGGAAAAAGAAGGGGGAACCAGCTGGATCTGGCCCATGAACTGGTAATTAGACCACAGTGGATTGATGAATGAGAAAAGAGAGGCTACCCTAGACTTACCCTTTTAGGGGGTAAGTTACACAGAGGATGGAAACATTCAGCTATAGCACAAGCAATGCTCCAACTTCTTGGAGGGATGCTGAATCTCCTGTCTGAGGACTTATGCTGGTCTTCAGCTGCTGAAGATCAGAGACTAGAAGAATGAGCATATCTAGCACATTCATTTAACACTCCCAGTGCCAGAAGCAGCATAGCAGGCTGTTGATCTGTGCAGAAGAGTTAATTTCCACAGAGGAGAAGAGGAAATGTCTTAAAAGCATAGAAACCAGGGAGCAGCCTGAATACACAGTGTTGAAAGGAAGGGAATTTCCGAAGGGACTCAACAGTCTGGATTTCAAAGGTGCTGGCCATCTGCAAAGACAGTTTGTTAAGCTGAGCAATGGTTTTTCAGCCTCTGAGGACTAGGAAATGAAAAAGTGGAAGTTAACAGCAGTTGCTGAGTGATTTTATTTGGTTGTTTTTTTAAACTCAGTCCTCTCACTGAGGAACCAGACCCTCAGCACACTTGTCCATCCCTGGGAGTCCGTGTAGCAGCAGATCTGGGGAATGCAGCGCAGAAAGGCTTCAGGCATGTATCAAACAGTACCCAAATACCTTCCTGACTACTCTCAGCAATGGTACCAATACTGCACATGAATCACAAAAACAATACAGACACCAAACTTTCCCTGAAGAGAGGTTTGCCTTAAGACTTAAGACTTAAGAAAGCCTACAATCAACTACAATCAAGTATTCAGTTGAAGGAATGTATTTTCTTTGCTTACGTTACTATGTATTATTAAATCATGTGCTGCTATAAACTACTGAGCCCTTCTCTATTACAGTGATGACTTCCCATCTGTGGAACAGTGGAGGCAGAAGAAAAACACAGCTCTCCTGATACCACTGATGGCAGTAAGAGTGGTACTGATGAATTTGTGAGAAAAACTAGGTAATACAATTTACTGCTGCTTTTCATCAGCATCACAGTCAACTTGTCAGTATTACAGGTCTTGATTGCTATTTTATCCCAACAACAGAAGAATGTCATGAGGATTTCCTAAACATAAAAGGGTTCAGATGAAGTAAATATATTAAAAAACATTTACAGTACACCAAAAAAGCTTGAAAATTAAATTATTTTAGACAAAACCACATGCTCTTACTCGCACACATACAAACTAATTAAATAATACTGCTCTTGAATGCTGGGCTTTGGGCAAAAGTTTTGATATTTATTGTTAAAACAATGAACATTTGAAAAAACATAATTACACAGACATCAAAAGGTTTGCAAGCAGATACAGAGGAAAAATACAGAAGAAATCTGGAGCCTCTCTTTATCTCCTTCATTCTTCCTTTTTTTTTGATGACAGAGGTTATCTTCAATGTTAAGCAAAGACCTTGAGCAACATCCTGGCCCCAGTGAGGTCAATGAATGAATGTTTTCCATTGGCTTCAGAGATAACAGAACTTTAGTCATTACCCACATACTCTTCTAAATCCTTGAACTTCCTGTACTTGTTTCTCCAGTGACGCCTTATATTTTCGTGTTATGCATCTGCTCCAAACCAGCTACTTTCCAGATAAAAGCTCTTTGGTCTATTCAGTCTCCTCATAAACTGCCATATTTTGCCTACACTGAGACACAAACACCAAGACATGCAGAGTCTAGATAGTGGGCTTCTAAGTGGTAGGAGTTAAGAGTACCCTTCACCTGCCTGTCTGAAACAATCCTGCTGTGCTGAATTTTCAGGACACGCTGTACTGATAACTACCCAAACAGTCACAGCACAAGCACATATAGTAGCTAAACTCCAAACACAAATACAAAATCCTCTGAAGGATACAGCTGCGTTGACAGCTATGCAGATGAAGGCTGTCAGGTAATAGCATAGAACTCCAGGTAAAGCTGAGGCAAGCCTGCATCAGGGACTGGGTGGCTGCAATGGCAGAAGCACATGGCTCTCTTCCATCCCAGTGATGCAATCAGGAGTACTGCTGTGGCAGAGTAAAGCCATTATCATCCCTAGTTGCTCAGTGTTCCATGTGAAATGAGTTTCAGCACATCAGCCCAATGCTTACAAACTTGCATACATTTAACACGTTACCCGTGTAATCTTCCCACACAATATCCAAAGGCACAAAGTCCAATGCAGATGGAGATTTGGCAATCACTGCCTCATGTTTGAGGCAGCACTTCTAGGATGGGTCAGGTGGAGGCACAGTCTCAAGACCCTCTGATGGAACCCTCATAGCTGCCAGTAAAGCTACAGCTCCTTTAGAGATAAAGGGGTTCAGCTTTTAGTGCTGACAGCTCTGTGCTTTTTGTAAACCTCAGCATTCAATTGTAACACATTCCCTCCTCCATACCATAAGCCCTCTGACAACGAGAAATACACACTCTTCAATAAATACTAAAATGGCATTTTAAAAAACTTCATTCATAAATTACATTTATATTGGAATATTTAACAAAATTATAAAAACCTTCAGATATCAGATTAAGAAAAATTATTTTTAAAAGTTACTTCAGTCTAAGTACAAATGCAACATGCTTTGGACATACAGACTTTAAACTTTAGCCCACCATGAAACCTGAGGAGAAATAAAGGGTTTAGATCATCTTTCCAAATAATTTTAAAACCTCCTTTAGAAATTTTCCCTTGTAGAACAAGTTAGCCTGATGTGGCATGAAAAGTATAAATTCATCAAGGTATGAGACAATAGTCAGAAAACAGCAGCTAATGAAGTTTAAAAAGATTTAGGAGGTTTAAGAATGATCATTGTATTCTCCCTTTGTCTCTGACCAATGGTTCCTTCTGTACATTACTAGCCTGTCAACGAGTACCTCTGCAAAAAAGCCAGAGGAGACCAGACTAGCTGGTGGATCCCCCATGGGACCAAAGTACAGTCACAGTCAGGAGCATCCTGACTATTTCTACAATGGCATATAACATTACAAGTTGACAAACAACATGACAGTGAAAAACTGAAAGGACTTAATGCAACCAGTCAAACCCCATTCAACAGCTTTTAACCAAGGGCAGCAGTTGGTAAATGAACAGCTACTCCGTTCCAATGCCACCTCCTGTGCACAGTGTGCGCATTCTCTCCGTTCTCTCACTCACTCACGCTCTCTGGGTCACTGCTCCTCTTCTCCTCTTTCTCTCCCTGGGAGGTCTCCTAGAGCCTCTCTTTGCTTTGGACTCAGTGCAGCACCACAGAAAGCAGAATCCTTGCAGCTCACTAGCATGCCTGCCCCATTGTGTTTTCACTCTGGCAGCTGCGCAGCTCCTTCAAGTCTCTTTCTTCATTTTCTTCCTCTTCCTCCTCTCCTTTTTTCCAGGTACACCTGCCATACAAACAAGGGCGCCAGTGCAAAAACCTTCTACATGCAATCACATCCCTGGACACTGCTGAGTTTTCACCTGAAATGAGTATTTTGGGGTTCTCAGATATGTGTTACAAGGGCCACCTATTTTCAAGGGTAATCCAAAGTCATGGGAAGGGCTGTGTATGTTTTTAGCAGGCTCTGACTCACTCACACACACATCTGCTTCTATTTCACATTTAAAAGCACTGTGCAAAATACTAAATGCAATAGTAGTTTTGCTTATTAACTCTAACAGGAGCAGGAGTATGTATCTGTCACAGAAAAACCTCAAAGTTTTACAGAGCCTCTCTAAAATATGACACAGTTAAAGAAGTGTTTCACATATCCTCTTAAAAACACATTTGTGAACACTCCTCAGATTATGCATTATTCTGAAACCAAAATTCATCAGATGTTCAAAAAACAATCACTTACCATTACTGGGTGAATTAATAGCAACATCCAAGGAGTTTTTGAAGGAAGCACAGACTGCATGACCGCTATGCTTTCTGGATAAAAAGTCCCTTGGGCCTTTTTCCATTCTTGTTTCCAAACCTGGCTGGGGCTTAATTGAAACAATATGTTTCACTAAGTATATGAGTTAAATAAAGCATATGCAAGTACAAAATATCAGAGAAAATGTCATTATTGGAGGGAATTAGGGTATTTGAAGAAACAGCAGGACAAATTAGTTTATAAATTATTAGAATATTCTGGCATGTCATCTACCTACTTTGTTTTAGAAGGGATTAAAATGTTGAAATTGTCTTTCATTACCATCTTTCCCCTTGTTTCCCTCAGTGAATAGAAGTACGGCAAGATATATTGAGGGGAAAGTACTGTAACTGTATAGTGAGACTGAAGACTAAGACGTGATTGCTAAATGACCACAGTCCACAGAGGTAGCACAGAGTGTGTGATGAGCAACTTTGTATATGTGGCTTCGTATGTAATTTCAGTTTTTTATGTCTATCTCCAAAGGATGAGCTTGCACAGCAGCAGGCACCAGCACTTGGGCCTGACATGCAGCATGAGCTCCCTGTGGCCCATCATAAACACGCAGGAAGAAACTGCTGTCCTGAGGAGTCTGAACAGCATTATTAAGATTATTCATTAAGGTACATACAAAGCTAAAGCAACTAATTGAATGTGCAACAGAGAGAGTGGCCTGGCAGCACCCTGGTAACTGATGGGTTGCTGTAATGACCACATGGATTGTGGTCAGTGAGTCAGTTAAAAGTGTCTCTCTTAAAATGAGAGCATCAAGAGTTCAAGGGAACAAAACTGTCCTGAGGATCAGGGAAGATCAGAGTGGGTGTGAGCGGAAGACAATGATATTACACAGCATACAAGTCCAGAGCCACATTCAGTGACGAGTGAATAAAAAGCAATTAAGACATTATGGGGGGTCCCCCATTTCACTGAGCAGCAAGGACATCACCACCAAGGACTGGTCCAAAACCCAGTCAACAATCTGTTCCTTTGTACCTCCCATTCCAAACAAGCTGACATTTTCCACAGCCTTTCTCTGTTGTGCTCTGAGACATTTTGTCCTCAGTGTTTTACTGGTGTAACACTGGTCTTGCTTTATCTTCACTAGCTTTTGGAAACCACATTTGCATTACTGTTAGTATCTCCAGGTGACCTTCCACCATGGATAAAACACAGCCCAGCTGTACACTAAACCTGAAGTGCATTTTCCTGAGAATGCATTTCTTCTTCCATGATTAAAGCCATCTGTTCCTCTCTGCATTGCAAAATCAAACTATTTTGTAAATGTGTTGGGGAATACTGTATTGCAAAAACTCACTGGTCACTGTGCTCACCCTTCTTTTATAGGAAGGCAGGGAGAAGAAAGAAGAGGAAGTTAGAAGATGGAGAGGAAGACAAACCCCCTTAGATCACATCACCCTAATGGAGAAGACACCTCTCTCTGTTCTTGGAAAACCAGATACTACTCTGGGAATACAAAATACTCACAAGCCTCAGTCCTGCTCCATCCTTTGCTTTCTTCACTTCCATTTTCTTCTGCTGCTGCTGCATTTTGCTTTTGAGTCCAGAAAGGCAGAAATGAATGAATGCTTCGCTTTTCAGCAAATCCTGAAAGCATCAGGGATTTTATGAGAGGAGGTATGGAGCTGCTGATCCATTTTTTTCAGTAAAACTGGTTACCTCCAGGAGCATGTGCTGACACTGTACAATCAGGGCATGTCTCTGGGTAAGGTACACACCTCAGCTTAAGACAGCTCTTTGCAAAAAGCTCAATATGCTCTTCTCACTGCTGTCAAAGAGGGTCATTGCCCTGCCCTACTACAAGGCAAGTCAAAGAGCAAGTCTTCTACCTCTCCACAACTGCATCACTGTCAGCAAACTCTCTCACTTAAGTAAACACATCCCAGCTGCTTGCAACAGTGTGAAGGCTGGTGCCAGCTGTGGACTCTGCACCTCTTTTAAGCTCCAGGTATTCAGGAAGGTCAGTGGCAATAGAAAGAGTTCATCACACAGGGTGGCAAACACCTGATGTTTGCTGCTCAGGGCAGCAGTGCCACCACATGATGAACTCCCAGAACAAGCCAACTCACACATCCTGCAAGTGTGTCCCAAGCTCCAGCTCTCTCAGACAGATCAGGGGAATTACCATTCCAAGTGCCTCCTCCCACTGTGGGAAGGCCCCCACAACCAGAGGAGCCCGTCTTTGGGGCAGGTTTGGACACCTTGGTCTGGCTGAGAGTGATCCCAGTGGAGCAGCTCTTCCTTGGTCATAGAATCATAGAATAGTTAGCAGCAACACTGTCTCACCTTCTCCTTCTCATCCCCCATCTGGTGCTCCTCATCTCCTGTCCAGTTTCCCCACTCTTCCAAGGGAGCCTTCCAGTCAGAGTCTAGGTCAATAGCTGAAGGATCATCTGTTAGGACAAGCATACAAATTAATTATGTTCAAATCCATGCTACTTCCCAGGCTCACACTAGTAACAAAATTGCTGCAGAGATCTTGTCATCTTCCTGCTTGCCAATGGGCTGACTGGGTGTGCATGTACTCACACACGTCTTCAATGTATTTTGAAAACTACAACTGACTGCTGATTGACAATTTGTGACTGCACTCTTCAGGACAGGAGGAAAATTAAGGAAGGGCAGAAAAATACATACAGGAAAAAAAGTGCTTCCATACTGCACTTCAAGAAAACAAGCTTTACAATATTAATAGCATGGCTTCTCTAGCATTTTCTTTATTTTATGGAGAAGGATTCAGGCATATCCAGAAACACTGGCAGACACAGCAGGCTCTTCCACTCACTGCAACACACCATCCTCAGGGCAGTTATTTGTATGGAAGAGTAATATTATTAGCAAAGGAGTTATGCATTTGTTAATGCTCTCATTGGTGTTTTCTTTCCTATCAAAAATAGAACCAAGTGCGTTCTTGACTTAATCTTCCTGGTTTATTTTCTTTTCTTGAACGTAAGCCAGAAAGGCACCATCATGGCATACATGCAACTGTAAATATGCATTAAATAGGTAACACCTACCCTGCATCAATTCTTATCATTTCATGAGGGCTAGGCAAAAAACTTTTGAAAATCTTCTAGGTTTCTCTATCTGCCAGCATCTGGTGCCTTTGAAAATCTGGCCACAAGCCCTGAGCTGCCTCTCCATCCAGCACTCAGGCAAGAAGGCAAAACAGAGCAGTCTTAATTCCTTTGCCCAAACTGAATGAGTTGCAAAAAAACAGATAAATCAGCACAAGATGTTGAAAGGACTACTTGATCATTTTTTAATGGTTTGAGTGCAACAATCTTAAGTCTTATCCTAACAGGGAAAAAGATTTTGAAAACACAGCATATAATAATAACAACTCTTAGCTGGTCACATCTCTTAAAATAAAAACAAATACAAAAAAATCCCAAGCTGCATGGAAAAACTTCTCGTTGAAGCAGGGCCAAAACCAAAAGCATGCTGGGGAGGATAGAAGAAAATTGTTTCCAAAAAGTTGCTCTCTCCAGTTTGCTGCCAAATGTCATAAACATGATTCTAGACATTGCTCAAGTTTCTCAGTTTAAAATCCATGCATAGACAGTATTTCTTTCCTTCTTCAACAAAATAGAGGCAAGTATTTTTGAACACATTCCTCAATAAAATTACAGTCTAAGTATTTTAGGCAAATGAATGCATCTCGATTTGAGAGATGCACAATATACATGAATGAGTTAGATGTCTGAAGAACAGTTTGTGTAAGCTGTAGCATGGGATACCAGCACCAAAAAGCTCCTGCTGATTCTCCCCAGTTAGGTAATCTGAGGGTCTGGCTCAGAACTCTGGAGCATTTAGCTGTCGTGGATGAAGGCAATAGTAACCTGCATTCCCCAGCCCATTAACTATGCCACAAGGTACACTGGACGGAGGACACAGCAAGTCCCAACTCCTTAGCCTGTGCAGTGCACACTCTGCCTGTGGTTTAAAATCTCTGCTCTTGTGTAGCATATTTCCCTTCTACACTGACATCTCCTGGAATGTTTTTAAACTCTGAATAGTCTCTAATATTTTTAAATCAGCAACTGCTTTTCCATGGGTCATAAATTCTCTCACAGGCTGAAGCTGGTCAGTAATTCCTCCAGTAGGAGAAAACCAAACACAAAAAGTAACGTGCCGTGCAGCAACAAGTACTCCTGTTCCCCTGGTGGGTTTAGCACTCATAGAAGTGGTATCTCCCGATGTACCTATAGACCAACATCTTGATAATTCCTTCTGTTCATTTTTACAGAAGCAGTGCTCAAGGCCAGGTTGGACAGGGATTTGAGCAACCTGGTCTAGTGGACGTAGTGGAACAGGAAAGTAGCTTTGTCTGGGTGGAGCTGCTGGGGGACTAAGGTGGGTGGCAAGCAAGAATCCAGTTGGAAAATCATAGAATCATGATTTGGGTTGGAAGAAACCTTAAAGACCATCCAGTTCCAACCCCCTGCCATGGGCAGGGACACCTTCTACTAGACCAGGTTACTCAAAGCCCTGTCCAACCTTACCTTGAACACTTCCAGGCATGGGGCATCCACAGCTTCCATGAGCAGCTTGTTTTAGTGTTTCACACGCTCACAGTAAGGAATACCTTCCTAATATCTAATCTAAATCTACCCTGTTTCAGTTTCAGCTGGGTGTAGGAGTCCCTCATTTGGCACCTTCCTCTAGCATAACTCAGTAGATGCAAAAATACTAAGTAAATCCCAGACTAAAGTCTTCTTTTAATTGAAAGAAGCTGCTTATTCCCATGAAACAAAGAAATTAAAATTCATTTTAACCCCGGGACAGAAGAAGGAGGGGAGTCAGGAGACAATGGGGCTGTCTGAGGGTTCCAGGCAAAACCTGCCTTGGCAATAAAGGATTCACTGGGAAGATGCCAAGTCACACGTAGAAAGACAACCTTCGTTGTCATGAGATGCTGCATTTGCAAAGCAGAACATGGGACTTCTGAGACTGCCTTGTGCTGTTGCCAGAGCACAGGTCCACTGCACTCTGAAGCAGAAAAACTGGATAAAATCATTATGTGCTTCCTTAGAATTTGACACAGGTGCTCTACAACAGCCCAGCCAGCCACTCTGTGCGGGTTCACATTTTGTAACAGCAAACCCACCCGCGGCCTATAATGTATTTTGTGAGATGGGTAAGCATAAGTACATCAATGTCACCAAAGGGGCAGCAGCAGACCTGTGGTACAGGTGCAACAAAGGCCGTATTGCGAAATACCTGTGTCCTGGGTTTAGCAGTAGCAGTCAGTTTTTCTCCTTCTTGGTAGCTGGTGCAGCATTGTATTTTGACTTTCAGCCTGGAAACAGTGCTGATAACACCGATGTTTTTAGTTGTTGCTAAGTAATGTTCACCCTGACCAAGGACTTTGTGAGTCTCATGCTCTGCCAGGGAGGAGGGGAAGCCGGGAGGAAGCAGAGACAGGACACCTGACCCAAACTGACCAGAGAGGTATTCCACACCACAGCACATCATGCGGGGGGGGTAACTGGGAGTTACCCGGAAGGACATGGGGTCTTCTGGGTAGGACTCGTTTTTTTCGGTGGGGGATATTGTATTCTCTTCCCTTCTTATATTAACTCTTATCATTGTTGTCGTTGGTGGTAGCGGTGGTGATTTGTGTTGTACATTGGTTGCTGGACTGTTCTTTTCTCAACCTGTGGGAGTTGCATTCTTTCGATTCTCCTCCCCATCCCTCCGGGAGTTGGGAAGGGAGGGGGAAGGAAAGAAAGAGGGAGGAAAAGGGGGGGGGGGAGTGAGTGAATGAGCTGTCTGGCTGGGTTCAAACCATGACAATATGCAAGCAGTAAAGTTGTTGAGATAAAGCACAGGAGGAAGAGCAGGAGGATCCAGAACAACCCTGCAGATCAAGCAAGAAAGGTGCCTGGCAAAACCAGAGCAGTTCCCGGGCTCAAGAAGAAAGTGAATTATGCCAGAAGCAGAAGAGATTCACCCCCCTTTCTTTCAGCTTCGTGGCAGGGATTAAAAGTATGCAAATACTAATGACGAGCAGGGAAAACTGACTGAAGTAAGTTGCCCATTTTGGGGCCCCCTTCCCACATGGAGGAGTGCTGACCACTTCAATTTCCTGCTGGGGCTGCAATCATCAGTGCTGGCCATGTGGCTTCAGCTCCAAGACACTCAACACCCATAGCTAATGGCTTAGATTACTAAAGACTAATTTTTTGAATATGCAGAGAAAATGGCTGATGACAGAATAAGGATTACAGAATCGCTGAGGTTGGAAGGGACCTCTGAGGATTCCACCCTGCTGCTCACTGCAGGCTCAGCTACAGCAGGTTGCTCAGGGATGTAGCCACCAGGATCTTAATATCTCCAAGGGTGGAGACTCCACAACCTTCTGGGCAATCTGTTCTGCTGCCTGAATACCCTTAACATAAAAAAAAACCCACAAATATTTTCTCATGTGTAAGTGGAATTTCCTGTGCTTCTTGTCAGAGGCAACCACCCCATCAGGTGTTCATACACATGACAGACTTTGCTGGGCCTACTCCAGTATGTCCATGCCCATCTTGTACTGGGGAGCCCAGAAATGGGCACAGCACTCCAGATGTGGTAGTGATTAAGAATTAACCATCAGCAATGTGTTCATCAGCAATTAATGAACATCACCCTAGCAGTGTGTAATCCTCAAATAAGCCTGATTTGTCAGTCTTTTAAACACTCCCCTATCACAGTGACCTCAGTTCGCTAACTACTAACTCCCTCTCTCCGTGTACATACACTTTCAGTGGCAACAACATGTAAGCCTCAAACCTTTTGTTGGTTAGGGTGTTGTTATTACTGGTATACTTCACAAAAAGATATCCCTAGGAGGAGCAGGGAGCCGGCCCAGGCTGCTCTGTGAGCCTGGTACAGAACAAAGAGACTCATTAAATGTACTGATCTGGATTTGATAAAATGACCCCAGCTCATATTCAGGTTATGAATGGCTTTATTTCTTTTCAGTTCAGAGGCCTGCAAGCAGTAACAGGCCTTGTTTAACTGTCAAAGAGCTCATTTTGCCTGCAGTGCAGGCCTTACTGCCAACCATTACCTCATCTAAATTCAGGGAATACATGTTTGTGACACTCCCCTCTGCATCAATATCAAGGCTGAAGATTTAAAGGAAAAATAATACTACTACTAAGAAACGTGCTGTAGGGTGGGCTGGAACCCTACCATTTCTGCTTTCTACCAAAATGTTTCTGCTCCAACGTTTGAAAGAGCAAGCTGCTGTACTTGCCCCTATCAGTTCTGCTCCCAGATGGGGGGGCATTGAAAAAGTGGAGCTCTCCCTGGCTTTGCAACTGCAGATCAAATCCCAAGAGCACCAAGTGTGACATGTGCTAAATGCAACGCAAGGAAAGGCTGCTGGAGAGCTACCTGCATTGCCTCCCTCCTTCCTGTGTGGGCAAGCCTGGGCTCAGAAGTTACACAGTGCCCAGCAGCAACATGGTGATGAACAAACAGCACTAAGGGAAGGGGATGCTTAGGGTTGAAGTTTTTTTGGTTTATTTTTTTAAAGGGTTTTTTTTGGTTAATTTTTTTAAAGCAAACTATGCTAGTTACAAAATCCTCTGATGGCCAAACTGATGCGTCTGCTTCAAAGTCTCAGTTACTGCTGGGCAGAGGAGCATAATGACTGCAGTGTGTTCTCAATGCATTCAACCAGTCTGGGTTCCCCTGCAGTTAAGGTAATCAGAGCAGCTAGAAGAGCAAGAAGGGGTCTGCTTAGCTCGTCAGCCATCATTCCTGCAAGAGCAGGGTAAAAGCCTCCCAGCAGCAGGGGTATAAATAGATACTTCAATCCTGACCAAAAGGTCAAGAGAAAAGGCCGTATAATACCCCCACTGTTCATGCCAAATTATTCCAGCCACTCAGGACCCACGCTGGCCTATCAAGCAGCTTTTAAAAGTAACAAAAAAGCCACCAGTCATAAAAAGACTACAGTGCTCATTGTCAGAGTCCACTGGAGCCGGATTCTGCATGTGGGTTCTGGGTATTACAGAGGAGACTTCCAGTTTTGGCAGAGGTACCCCATGCTCTAGCAGCACCCTGTCCTCCCTGCAGCTCTTCCTCGGCCACCCCACAGAGCCCAGGCCAGGGGCTGCCTGGAAAGGAGCCATCCAGCTCCACCTTCGCCACCCAGCAATGGGAGGGCAACAAACACAATGCTCCTGTTACGAAAACCAAACCCAACTTTTCATTCATTGCACAAATTTAATAATCTGCGATGACTGCTAACACATGGGGTTTTGAAGTGCAGAGACCATACTGTTGCCTCTGGCTCAGGGAGTCCCTGACCCACTCTCAGCTGGGTGTGGAGACGGATCATCTTGTGCTTGTCCTGTTCCTGTGCTTATCTGCCCTTAACTACTATGTGCAACTGCCAGAAAGAGGACACCAGGCTACAGAAGCCTTCAGACAGCCTCCCTACAGCTGGTCTTGCTACCCACAGTGTCTAATTACACTTTGCACAGCAGTATGAATGCACTGAACAAGACTGTATGTACTGTATCCCTTTTTGTCACTTTCTAAGTAAAAACATAAAGAAACTGCATGTTCTCACACTTCTCAAAGATCCCATGCAGGGCACCTGCCGCTCTGGCGGAGCTCACAGCAGCTCTGGGCATCTGCCCAAAACCAGACCCAAGCTGAATTTCTTCCTTACCTCTACCAGCCTTTGTGCGGACAAGCCACATGGGAAGTGGACCCTTATTTTTGAGGCTTAGGGAACAGACTGAAAAGGGTGTCAGCATTGGTGCACTTGTGTTTCAACAGAAAGAGAGCAAAGGGACGTACCCTGCCCCTGCCATGCATTGTCTGTGGGGAGGAAACTCGAGCTGGTGTGCCAACAGCATCTGGAAGGACTGGCCTCAGATGATTTATTCTTCACGTTATCTGCATACAGGAAGACATCTTTTTAAAAAATAAAACCAAGCAACCCCCCTCTAATCTAAAAGATAATCACACAGGTATATTCACATTATTAGAACCAATTAATTATGCCTTTAGCTGCTCGCTGTGTCACAATGCCTAGATGTTACGTAATTTAAACCCCACACTAATATGTGCTGCTCATCACAGTGGATTTATTAACAAAGGTTGGAAGAGGACACAGTGTGTATAAGTTACTAAAAACACAGTATTTGGAGATGCAAACTTCTGACACATCGTTCTTGGGGACATAAGAAGGGAGCTACAGCTCCTGCAGAGCAAAAGCCACATCCAGTGTATCCAGCTCCAACTCTCACGCCTTCAGTGAGGCGGCTTCTGCTCATTCTAACAGAAATCCATAATTACCATATGAATTACTCCAAGAAAGAGCACAGATGAGAGAGAGTTCCTGGAGGAAAAAGAAGAGTTAAAGTTTTTTTATTATTATTTCGAACAACTAAAACTACCAGTAGGATTCACATGCCTCCCTTTAGCCCTTTTCTAAGGCCTGTACATAAGTAGCATTTTCTTCAGTTCTTTTATACACCAGATTTATTTTTTTTTTCACATATCTGATCTTTCCTTTCTTCCTTTCAAGTAAACAACTCCCTTGATTCTGTATTGTTCTGTATTGGCTTGATTTTTTTCTGCATAAATGCGAATGTTAACAATGTTAATGTTAATGTTCTCCCTGTTGAGTACTTGCACATTAGGAACTGCTTCACTCCGCTGATGCAGTGTTGGAAAATAGAATATTAAATATGGCATGATTATTGATTACCAAGTCTGGCTTTAGAAATTAATTTCAGCATCTTGGCTTACACCACACATGCTGTTCTGTGCACAGATCTATGTGTATCTCTGCTCGCCTTTAGCATCTCAAAAAGATTCAGGACCAGACTTTGCATTCATCAGCCAGCCAGCTGGACCTCCAGACAAATGTGAGTTTCTGGTAGGCAGAGAGTGTATGAACCAGGCACCAAGAAGGACTGACACTTGCAGAGAGGTGAAGTGAAAGCCAGGAACAAGGCTCAACTTAATGCAAAACTAGGAGGTGTTCCATCCTTCTCAAGGCCATGTGTGGAGATGCTTAAGCTGGAAAACCTTTGCTGTGCTGGCCAGGAGGCTTCTGGCTAGGCAGCCTCTAACAGGACCTCTCCAACCTGGGCATCTGCTCCCCGCTTTGGTCTGAATTCTCTGAATTTGCTGGTCATCAGAACACAACAGAAGCCCCCCGTGTGAGCAGATGTAACAGGGAGAATACGCTGGCAACATTTTTTTTTTTTCATGTATTCAAAGATGAGACATGAGTTTGGAAAGTGCCAAGTAAAACATTCTGATGTCACTTCTTCAAATGCTGGTGCTCTGGACTGCAGATGGTAGCAAGCTTTACGTGGGAGAGTGTCTAATGAAATGTTGCTCCAGGGGAGAAGATCCGTATGTGAGCAATGAGAGTACTTTAGGCCAAGCATCTAAGAAAGCAATAGAAGAATTCACATGGAAGTCCAAAGAGAGAGCACTCACCTAACTCCCTGGACAGGTCTGATAATGTCCCAAAGGTCACAGGACAGGATTTCACTTCTGCAATATCCCATGTTCCTGCATTTAGAAAGCAAACAAACAGTAACTGAAAATGCGATGTGACATTCACAGCTGGCAACTGCAGTTCCTACCTGACACTCCCAATCTCAGTGCTGGAGAAGAATCAAGCAAGGAGAAATTATCTTTTATGGACAGAAAGAGTTCAGCCCAGTCACCATGTACATGTTCTCAGCCCTTCAAAGTGTGCATCACACCAGCATGGCACTTTTCTGGACTTAATCAAAGTCCTCATTCATCTGAACTGATGCCTGTCCCCTTTACACTCAAGTGGCAGAAGCTGTCATCACGTATCAGCTTGGAATTTGGCCTTTTGAAAGCATTAGAGTAAAAAATGGCACTAACATTCTCCATGCATCAACTTATACTTTGCAAAGAAAAGAAAAAAAAGGACTCTTGCAGAGAAAGCAACTCATGTAACTCATGTAAGGGCAATCTAAAACCATTTTCTGAATCACCAGAGTACTGGATTACTGATACCGAAGGTGATTCATTGTGTGGCCTTATATACCCATCAATCCAGTCATCAAGACTGATTAATCATTGAGATTGTAGTGAAAATCAAATGCTTTCAAAAATTAACTGAAAAGTAGTAGTAACAACTATAACTTGTAACTCTCCCACCCCACCAAGAAGTCAGGAAGAGAGATATAAAGATATAATGGTCCAATTACCTCCTCATTATCGATTATTGGGTTTGCCCTAGAATCTACAGTACCACCCACAATAGAAATACATTTCGAAATATAACTTTGCTATAAAAATGCTCCATCCCTGGCAGTGTTCAAGGCCAGGCTGGACAGAGGCTTGGGTGAAATGGTCTACTGTGACGCATCTCTGGCCATGGCAGGGCATTTGGAACTGGAGATCTTAAGGTCCTTTCCAACCCTAACTATTCTATGATGGAAATGAAAAGTCATCAAATACCAGTGAAAGAGCTGATATCAGCTTCTCTCATCTTTAGCCTAATGGCCTGGCAGTCCACCCCTTTACTGCTTTAAAGGCGTCTGAGGTTATAGAGACGCAGTTTCCCACCTCCAGCTTATATTACATAGAGAATGTCCCAATAGCACACCTGAGAGCCAAAGTTGCTCTAAATGACCTTGTTTGCACAAGAACAAGGGGTGAATCAGCTTGGAAGGTGAGCAAACTATGTAGGTACAGCACAGCACTGACGGGAACAGACTATCTCCAACTGTCAAATACCCAAACTGATATAGGAATACCCTGGCTCATACTGCCTTGATCTACATGCTGCAGATATACCCTGAAGCCTAACTGACCATGTGTGAGCATCCTTGAAAAGGAAAGGCTTTGTCTGCAAAGGAATAAAACACTGCAAACCTGTGGGCAGAAAACAAGTTGTACCCAACAGGTAGCCTGCAACACAAAAAAATCCTGCCACAAAGACAGGAATTATTATTGCTGGAAAATAAACAACAAGTAGCAGGGTTTAAAGGGTTGGACAACATTGCAGGTGTGCAGGATCAATGTTGGTGAGGCTGTACTCTGCGGGACATGAAGCTTTCCCTCTGCAAGGCTTGACGGTCGACACTCACCTACATTGGAGAAAACATCCTCTTCTGCCAGGGAGAGCGCCGATTCTTCCGGTATGGCTCCTGACACTTTCAGTGCAGTCCCACACTCTGCTTTGGCAATGACAGCACCTTTTCCACCACCGCTGGCGTCCTCCGTGAGTGGCCACAGCGCTCTCTTCTCATCCCAGTCAAAGGCTTGCTCAGCCACCAAGCTACCCAAAGATGCTCTGCTGGGGTCTTCTTGGGAATAAACATGATCACAGGGTCATCATTATTTTTAATTACAATGAAGAGTTTGTACAGGGGAAACAACAGAGCAAGACACAATCTAAACCCATCAGAAGTAATAGCTATATGCAAACTGAAATTATTCACAATGACAGTAAAGCAGAGCCCCTGGGAGGGGACACTGAAACAGCAGATACAAAGACCATGTGAGAAGGAAGGCACTATGCAATCCATCAACGTATTCCACAGGACATGACGCTGTACTACAGAGGTCTTAGGCATCCCTAACTGCAAGGGTGGCTCAATGCCTCCAGAGTCCATCAGGGGACCCAGAGCAATAAAGGGAGAGAAAGAGAACAGCAGGACCTTCAAGGAAAAAGAAAACAAACCTTTTGGGTGTTGGTAATTCAAGGCTGCTACAGAAATCAGCACCAGGCACATGGATATTTATAAATAATTACAAATATCTTCAGCATCTTTTGTTCTGAAGGGTTCCTAATGTACTTCATGACTCCAGCCTTCACAATAGCAAAGTTTTTTACTAGGGCTTTGGTGAGGAGGGGACCACTGCTGTCATTAACCCCACCTTCACACACCTTAATGCTGATGCTTCTTCCCTACTAGGAAGCAGCAATCAGCACTTGACAGGGTTAGGGATTTCTCCTGGAAGATCACATTTCTCTGTAAATATCCATACCTAATAGGACCACCACAATGACCTGGTTCAGCTTGCTGCATAACCCAGGCTCCAGGACTGCACGAAGGACTTCTGGTGCTTCAACTGCAATGTGGTCAGCTGAGCTCCCTTCCCTTGGGTCAGCAAAGCACTTAACACCTGATAGGTCTTACTGTTAAACCATGCATTAACCTTCTGCATATAAGGCTGGAACCACCAATGCCAACAGGCCAACCTGCATGAAGAAAGGCAAATACAGACCCATCTACTTTGCCGGAGAGCAAGTAGAGACCTCAGCACTGTAAGCCCGTAGAGACTGTCATGAAGATATTTAACTCAACTTATCTAAACTCAATGTTTAATTTTATATAATCCAAATGATAAAGTGGTTCCAAAATGTCTGTATATTTTTAGATTAAAATTTCCTGTTCACTTGCCCTTTGATTTTAGTAGATTGCCTGAGAGCACTTTAAGACAGTCTTACTACAGACAGTGCACAAACACCCATATTTATCCAGCTATGTCTCCCAATTTCAAACTTATAAATTTCAAGCTTATAAATTACTTTAATATTTTAAACTTAACAGGTTTCATTATTATATTGATCATTTAACCACAGATAATTAAAATATTTCCAAATACCTTAACTCCATGACCTGCTTTCATATATAAACATAACATTAACATGTTATAACATTAATAACAACATAATTAGTAGAAATGTATATAGACACAAGTACATGGCAGACTTTTTAAAATCCCCAGAAGAAAAACGTGGAGTGAGCACAAAGCTTTGTTTCATTTTATCCCCCTTTTATAGCTGTTTACTCTATGCAGGTCTGGATTAAAGAACCTGTTTGGAACTGAGCAAATTACACAGGTTTTTATACATCCACTATCAGAAAACTTCTCTCAAGTCATGCAGAAGTAAGTAGTCCACATTACAACAAGCCTTTAGCAGACCTCGGATCTAACAGACATTTATTTGCTTTCAAAGTCCTATGGGTAATACTATGTGTTTTAATGAAAGCCTGGAGTAAAAGGCAAGCTCCCAAGTAAGAGCTCCCAAAGCTGTTTTTTCCTAAGTTAAGAGCCTACGTGAGTGTGAAGATTTTGCTGCCGAATGATGAATAGAGCAAAGAAAGATGTTGGAAAGTGAGAAGGGGTGACCAGCTCAGCCGGGGCAGATGTGTAAACTAAGCCTGTACATTTACCTTTTTGTTTCAGCCTTTCCTTCCTTAAGTGTCTCTTTTCTCGGCTGCTGATCTTGGTCTGCCAAACTCCTACAACATAAAGCAAAGTTCATTTTTAAGCAAACAAGAAATTTCCTTTACTGCTTTTATTGCTTAGCACAAAGGTAAACAGCTATTTGGTAGTTTCTGATACTGGCTGTAAAAGTGGCATCAGGGCAGCGAGTACTGGCACGGCCTCATACAGCATCTTCCCTGAGTGCAGCCTTTGCTGTCTCTGCAGAAACCAGTTACATAAGAAATTCCCATCACAAACCTGTCTGTCATATGTCCTGACTCATGTAACTGCACATATTCTTCTGTCCTTTCTGTCAGCCTGACATGACACCCCGTTCCCTTAGGGGAGATGTCACAGCAGAGCATCTACTGACTTGTACATCTGACAGCAGAGAAAATCTTAATTGTCAAATAAGGCTTCAATTTACTGGCTTTCTCTAGTCCTGAACATACCCTCAGACTTGTTCTGCGATGTGGAGACCCTCTGCCACACAGCTGATTTCAACACATATTCATTCATACTGAATGGGCCAGGTTCTGCCTCCATCCATGTTCTCCATGACCCAAGAAGCCAGCAGAGGGACTGGCACAAACGGTTAATAACAAGAAAAACACAGTCCCTGGATTTCATCGAGACAAACTCTTTGTTTCTCCGAAGTACCCCCAAATAACGTGTGAAACAGTTCAGCTGGCTCATCTGATCAAAACTAAACATCTGTTTGAAGAAAAGGCTTTTCTGCTTCCAATTCTCTACAGGCAGCCTTGTAGGCACTCTGCTCCAGGCATAAGGGCCCACAGGGAGGACTCTGGTCCAACAGCAGTGAGGGCTTCTCTTTTGCTCTCACCACCCCATGAATCACATGATAAAAGATTTTTAAGTCCAGAAAAGCTTAGAGTTTCTTTTTTACAGTATGACCCTTGATGGGTGGAGACAGAGAGGGGCTCATAGGATGCAATGTATTTTCCAGTGAAATTCTAGCTGCCCAAGCCTCACTGGCCCCTGCCAGATTTCTCTGCAGATTTGCTTGCAAGCAAAGATCTTGACTTTGTTTCATGGGCATGCTAGAAGTTGGCTGTACATTACCCCAGTGCCTTTACCAGCTTCCATCATGGGCACCACAAAACATTGTCTGGGAAGACCACAGCTTCAGCTGTGCATCAGCATGGCAGAGGCCACAGGAAGCATGAAGACAGGACTCTGCTACTCAGTGGACCTCTGGCCACTTCAGAGATGCTTCCTCATCTGCAGATTGGCCATCCCTGTGAATGTGGTAAGAACCTGAGAAGTTCTTACAGGAAAACACATGGTCCCTGTCCTAGTTACACATAGTAAGGAGAAGAACATAGAATTGTATCATAGAATGGTTTGGGTTGGAAGGGACCATAAAGCTTGTCTAGTTCCAATCCCCTGCCATGGGCAGGGACACCTTCCACTAGATCAGGTTGCTCAAAGCCCTATCAAATCTGGCCTTAATATATATAATTACCTCTCAAACTGTCATTTTTCCCCAATAATGAAGAATACTAGAATAGCAGAGAAGACTTCCCTTCTGAAATATTTCATCCCGTGTTATTATTTGGTAATATAAATCACATAACAGAAGTACCAGATCTTTTGTTACCTTCCTCCTCTTGCAGTTTGTCTTTTTCTGCAGAAAGCAGGTCTTTTGGCACCTTCTTATCTGAGCACTGGGCTTTCCTCTTCTTCTTAGGCTACAGTATACAGGAGGTAAACCAGAAAGATAAACCAGGTATTCGTTACATTTCATCATGAAGGAAAAAAGAGTCAGGGTCATAGTTTTGAAACAGAGACCACGCAGTGGTACTCAGAGGGACAGCAGTTGTCACTGGAATCTTTAGGGGGGTGCAAAAGTCTTCCAGATCAGAATTTTTTGCAAACTCCAAACGAATGCTGCAGCTTTTGGCCTACAAATTTGTCTTATCTGCTAGCTTAGAAAGCTCAGATTTTAATTCAGATACCTGCTCTATAATAAGATTTGCATTCATCATTCCTAAAAATTAATTTTCATCCTATAAAGGGGGAAACCTTAAAATGATTTACCTCCTTTACAACCAACAATGCTGAAATCAACTGTTAAGACCCTGCCTATGCTTAACCAAAAAAAAACCCATGGAACAGACTTTTTTAAACGAAGGTGTCTGTAGTTTACACTGATCTGAAAGGGCACAGCAGTGGCTGAGGCGATTTTCATGCCTTGATGAAGCAGTAGAGCTAACCTTAAGCCTTCAATTTTGAATATTCTAGATTTAACACAGTGGTTCTTGACTTTTCCAAGGCAGAATACCCCTATCAGGAACACACTTCTCTGCCCAGGGTGGGGGCTGCTCCTCACTTAGAAGTATCTGTAAAAACAGACACTTTCCTCCATGACAGTACAAGTGCTCAATGCCCAAGATAAAACCCTTGCCCAGACCCAAGGAAATGTCCCTGTCAGAGCTTGAACTCACACATGGACCACAAGACCGTCCAACTTGTGTCAGTGACAAGCACCACAGTGTGACTGTACCAGACAGTTACTTGGTCTCCTGTTCCTAAGTCATCTCTTAAGTGCCACAACTTATTTTTACAAATTATCCTTACAAAGGACTGCCAAATAGGAAATATTCTTAAAACAAGTCTCTTGAAAGACAATATATAAACTCCAAAACTCTTGCTGGTACCTTGACAAGCTTTTTCTCGTTGATGTTGACTGATGTTATAATTTCACCATTCACTGGAACCTAGAAGATGGACAGTAAAAATGCATTACGGACTATATATGTGCGTGTGTGTATATGTGTAAATATGCATACAAATACAATTATTTCAGTACCTTCACATGATATGTATGATAAGCTGAAAGACACAGCTAAATAAGTTCCAGTACAAATCTGGGCTAGAATTTGTGGCCCAAATCTAACCAAATAAAAGAACAGCTTGCATCCTATCTAGATCCTGTGAAGTAAACCATGAAAGTTTAAGGACTTTTCACATTAAAGTTTGATTCATGTCTTGGCTAAGAATTCAGTGGCAGTGACCAACCTCCAGCTGCAGGGGGAGGGTGTAAATCTGCAGCTGAGACAGCAAGGACTGTGCCAGCAAGAGCCACTGCACACTACACAAGCAGCAGCATCCAAAAGAAAGCAGACCTCCCTCTTGCAGGTGCCTCTTTCTGCCTGACACACACAGAGCATTTTGCTGAATGTATGGCACTCCTGTCCCTTGCCTGGGTTGCCTTCCTTGTGCAATGCAACCCCTGTTCAATGCTGCTTAGGTTTCCTTCAGTTCCATTAAACCTATTGCACTGCCAAGCTGAACCCAAAGCTTGCAGCAGGGAGTCTGACCAAGACTTTCACTGATCCACTGTCACCTTTGCCAGTGGGGGACAGGGAGCCCCAATGCCTGGTAGGTGAAGACAGCCCTGCAGGGGGCAAAACCCCTGGCTGCAGCCCAGAGCTGTCCTTCAGCATCAGGAGGCACCCTCTCACAGGTTTTTGATGAAGGGGCTTCAGGTGCCCTCAGTCCTTTTGGGGAAGGGAAGACTGCTGATGCTTTCCACCATCTGCTCCTCCTCCCCATCCTCACAAGTCATCTCTGTCCTCAAGATGCTGTGGCAGAGTTTAGCCACACACACTCTAGAAGGCGAAATCTGCTCTGATTCAGCTGCAGAGTGGTACCCACTCTACACTGTCACAGATACCATCGCAGGGCTCAAAAGTAACGTGCAATTAATGAATAGAGAGATAGAGATCAGCACGCTCCACAAACACTGTGCACTAAATCAGGGAAGCTAGAACCTGATTCTTTTTAATATCTCACTGGATGGCCACATCCCTTTAGGAGACCCAGATGTGAGAGGCAAAGGCTCAGAGCCACCTTGTGACAAGTGAGATTACAGCTCTCAAACAGACACACGGGACACAAGGAAACTTTTCCACAGAGCAATACATTTTTGTGTGTTATCCCAAAGGCACCTTGCAACATCATCAGGGCTCGAAACAGCTTCTTCCAAGAGATGAACCAGTTATTTCTTAGACACCAAAAAAATAATCTCTGCTGATGTTTGTGATGATTAGTTACCAGCAAATAAAATCCTGTAGGTGACTGGCCATGCTTATCCCCAGTAAACCCAGTGGGGCTGCAGTCCTTTAGCCTGTTAATGCTTAGTTCTTTGGTATTGTGGAGATTTTGGAGCTATTTTTTCACTAATCTCAGAAGGATTTGATTTGAAGAGCATCTTAAAGACAGCATGACAGGCACCTGTATGCTGGCAAATGCTTCGTCCCTGGAGGTGCTTGCTTGGGAACTCAGACCCCTTGCAAGCTCATGGTGGACAAGGGCATAGCATGGATCTAGCAGGATGGTGTTCAACTGATGCACCACAACTATTGAGAGGGGAAGACCCAATATTGCAGACTTTGCAACATACCACTGTGAATACACAGACAACACCGACTGTGGGTCTTCTAGTAAAATATCACAGTAGCAGGAGGTAAAATCCCTGCCTGATTACACCAGTAATACCACCATCTCCAAATTAGAATCTTAAACCAAGTTGTCCTCATCTCTTTCATCTCCCTTAGCTGTCAACTGTAAACAACCCAATTGTTTATAATTATGTTCTTCTGAATATTCACTAGCAAAATAATGACTTCTGTGTTAAAATCCAGCAACACTTTCTAATAGTTAGCAAGGCCATCTTTGTTTTTTTCCACAGGCAGTCATTTCTCTTCTGAGATTCTCAGGTTCATTTACTAGAGGCACTCCACACAATCAACTCCAAACCAGACCATTTTCCATATCCTGCTCTGCCCAAGGGAAAAATACCACTCTGCCTGCAGTCTCTCACACAGGACATGAGACATAAAATACAAACCCAGGGGAATTTTGCTGAAAATTTGAACCCCTTAGATATGGCAGATCTTGACCTTACACTAGTCTTTCTTTCTCAGGATATGCTTCTGTCCACTTAAAAGCATGAAAATACAAATAGATTATGTTTCAGTAAACAACAATTCCTATGCAATGTAAAATGTTGAGGCGGTAACTTTTCGATACATGACACAGGACTTCAGGAAAACTGAATTTTATGGGATGAGTGCAAGAAGGGATGACTGGGGGAAGCCACACAACATGTAAGCACAATATTCCTTTTAATCTCAACAAACCCTGGTGATTTCCCTGTTCCCATAATGAAATCTTCGCCATTTTCTTTTACCATTCTTTGCAAACAGACCTCCCAAATTAAGGCACCTTCAGCAAGACTGCCATTAGCAACAGAAACAGCAGCGCCAACTTATGTGGCAAAAAGAAGGATGTTTGTTGCCTTCTTTCAGGCACACACAGAGGATAAGAGACATCTGATCTCCTGTTAGCCTCTTTTTACGTCAGGATGCTTCTGCAAGCATGAGGGACTACATGCAAGAGACCAGGAGGTGTCAAGATTAAGGACATGCAACTGCCTTCCTCCCTCAGGCTGCTGTAAGTGAGCATGGCCTGGGGGCTATACAGAGCCCTCACAGAGGCAGGGAGAGCTCCAGAGGGAAAATTTTGAGTGCAACAGAGAATTATGGAAGATGCAAACTCTGTTTGCTCTGACAGACTTGTCTCAGCGGGGCAAGATCACATTTCTGGACCTTCTCTCCATATAAATGACAGCAAAGAAGAAGCTAGAAAAATTGCAGCACTTCAGTGCTTTGCCAGTCTGACTGCTGTATGCTTTTATTAGACAAGCACAACATTCGCTACTTAAATGATATTTCATCTGCTAGGCAAACATCCCTCTCTCTCTCCATCACTGACTAAGAGGATAAAAATAGTGTTGACAGTCATTTACTATATCCCAGGAGTCTTCATGATGACTGACTGGCTCTAAGTACCCGCCTGGGACTCCTGAACCTTGTTGCATCCTTCCTAATGAGCAGCTGAGTGCAAGAAAAATACCAAACCACCACTGACTGATGATCCCCAAATAGCCCAGCACTCTGGTGATGCTCCTCTTTCAAACCTGAAATATCCGTTGCTTCTCCACCGTCCTCCAGTAATAGCAGCAACTCCTTTCCTTTCATCACCAAGTATTTTTACCAGCTTCCTTTCAGTGGAAAGATATTATTCTAGCCTGACCTTTTGTATTAAATCCTGCCTTTATCCAGCCCCTTTTCAGGCAGTGAACTGGCTGTATGGCTGAGGAACTCCATCCTACCCCATTCTTCCCTTTCAAACCCCTTAGGATGCGGGATTAGTCATGCCTCTTTACCAGGCCTTTTGGCCATTCTGAAAAGGGAAAGGGAATTTTCATGATTTTATTGCACTTAATCTAATAGACTCATTAAAGATAAATTAATTTTTGTCAGGGTAGATTTTTCTCAATGAAAAATGTAGGTTTGTACAGGGAGAATACATCTAGACCCAGCACATTGACTGTATAAAATCATCAATGCAATTCCAAATACATTAAATACACGCAGAGAAACAGTATGAATACTTTTAGTGGATTTGGACTTAGCATATTAATTTCTACTCACATTCTGTGGAACAATAGGAAGATTATTTTTAGTTCATGGCCATTTGCTCATGACCCAGTGGAACAGGATTTCCCCCCCCCACCCCTGCCTTTTTTTTTTCCTTTCTGTGTAACCTGAGGTTATATTCCTAATGATTGCTCTGAAACCTTGATTCTCTTGAGCTAGCATTTAATTTATTTTACACCATTAATGCAGTTCTACGTAAAGTCACAAAGAAAGAAGATAAAGTGACAGGTCTTCAAATATTAAAAAATAGTGGGTTTAATCATGAACATATAAGCCCTGTATTCAAAGCCATAAAACTGTACCTCTAGACACCTTTATGCATTTCAATAGCTTCATGAGGCTAGTCATTTTTACAAAGCCAAACACCTCTGTAAGAGTCTATCAGATCAGGAAGCCTGCTCTCAAATCTCAGTGCTACCAACTGCTTACAGGATTAATTAAAAATAATGTGAACATTAGCTTCAGGCTCACTAACTGCCCCTTGTGCCACATGGGGAATGTGCTTAAAATTGCCTTCCTTAAGAAGGCATGCAAAGCCTTCCCCAGTAGAGGGATACTAGGACAAAATAAACTCAGTGTATGAAACCCAAGGGGAGCTATTATATGCTTCACACATTGGAAATCAGGGAATTTGTTCAAGAACATGAATAAAGATTCAGATAATTGTTTTCAGTTACCAATTTCAGAAAACTCGAATTAAGTGGCTTGGACACTGGAAATGAAAGGAAGCAAAACTACCCCATTCTGGCAGGGGGTCTGTGAACACAAAACCATTTCCAGATTTAAGAAATACTTACATTAAACTGTTTCCTAGTGCTCATTTCCAGTGAAAAAACTGGTTTTTTTTTCCCTTTATGTTACACCACAAGATTAATGGTGGGCTTAGGACAAAAGGCTGCACTGGTACAGGAAAAGCAACACCAACATGCACTAAATTAAAAAACAAAAAGGGAGAGGAGAAAGAAAAGAACAAGAAGAAAAGAACCTTTAAGCAGGGTACTAAATAACTTCTCTGAAATACGTTATGTTGCTATTGAACAAGATAACATTGCACTCTCCAGCTTTCTCAGTAGACCTTCAACAAGCTGAAAACTGAGCAGGAAGTCTTCCCGTCTCTCAGCATCCTCTGGAAGAACTGTTTTTTGCGCCCTGCACTAGGGATGACTTGGATATTTGCAATACCACTTGCAGTCTGGTGTTTACTCTCTGAA